TTATCATTTCCCCAATTCGCATCACAATATGCCCAAAGCATCATCTTATTGTCGTTCGATTTCTTGTACGCAATTCCGTGCGATTGTGTTCCCATGAGATATTGCAAAACGAGTAAAGCCGCACACCAGTGCATCTGTCGTGGTTGGTACAAGTACTGCGGTAACACTGACATCGCGTAGCTAATGTACGGTCGTGTTGCATTCGCGATGTACAACAGTGAACCTACCAATTTGCGATTAGAAGTGATGTCCTTTAGCACCAAGTGTGAATCATCCGGAGCAAGGTCTTGGCCTGCGCAGATAGGGTTGCGTACTGCATAAGCTCCACTCTGCTCAAACTTCGAGACCAACTTCATCATGAAATAAGACTGTTTTAGCACCAATTCTCCCTTTTCTTGTGAGTAATTCACCTCCATGCCCAAAATAAATTGCACAGCTCCAAGTGAATTTACATTAAAATCCTCTGACAAATCGTTGAAAATCTTGTCAACATCTGCATCTGACTTGCATCCGATCAGAAAGTCGTCCACATACAACACTATGTATGTCCGTGACTTATTGTTTGTATGATTGCGCCGAACAAAAAGACATGTGTCTCCACGACATTGATCAAAGCCCATGGCATACATACACAGAGCATATTTTTTGTGCCGAACCACAGCCGCTTGTTTTATCCTCTAGAAGGTGCTTCGTAGTTTGCACACCATTCCAGACGCAATCCCAACTCCAACGGGTGGCTCCATGTAAACATCTCCTTCCAAATCGCCATTTAAAAACGCCGTTTCCACATCGAAGTGCCGAATTACATATTGCATGCTGCAACAAACCGATAAGAACATACGAAACGTGTTTGAGCACGAAATAGGTGAATACGTGTAAAATTAATAAAACCATGCGTTTGCACATATCCGAGGGCAACCAAACGCGCTTTGTAATGAACAATGGCACCCTTTCTATCGTAATTGTGCTTAAATACCCACTTGTGGTCTATGACCTTGACAATTCGAGGACGGTAGGCGGCGTCCCATGCGTGGTTCTTCAAATGGGCTTCAATTTCTGCTTTTATTGCTGCATTCCATTGTTCCGCGTCGTTTGACCGCAGCGCCTCTAGTAAAATCATCGGTACATGAGTAGCAGAAAACGAAATTTCGAAAATGTCAACACATTGACGTTTGAGGTCCGGCTCATCGTGTTTGCTGTCCACCGGCGATCCATCAGCCAGAAGCGGTAAATCAATGTTCTCATCGTCAAAGCCGTCATTAGTGAGTAGACGAGTTGACGTACTATGAGACCTTTTTTAAGACCCCGAATGAATCTTCAGTCGGAAATCTTGGGAGCGGGGATTCTCACACAGTACAATAACTTGCTACTAATTCGGAAGACTTTGGAGCATGTGTGTTATTATCCCCACTTCCAGCGATTGTTCCGTGTGGTGTGCGACCGATCACGGAATCGTTCATGTCAATAACTTGCATATCCGTGTACTCCCCCGTAATCGGAACAAATCGTGTGACAGATTGAAATCTTCAGACGCATCCACGACTATGTCTTCCCAACTTTGTTGATCGTCAGCAGTCTCGTCAATGTCCATATCTTCAACCTCTTGATTCTTCTTCGTGTGCGGTACGTTCACATTTATTTCGGCGCGTTCATCATGAGAGTGCTTGCAGTGAGAAATAGGATCACGTAGAACAACAATATCTTTGTACCGCGAAGGAGGTCGCTCGTTTAATTTAACGGACCTGGTCATGACCAATTGTTCATTCACCAGATCCACACTCGGTATGCACTGGAAGTTTCCGAATTTCCAAGAAATATGCACTTGTTTGCCTCGCTGTCCCATTTCGTTCGCTTACAATCCGCTACCCGTAGATAGCCGGTCTTACCAAAGACACAAAAATAGCTCAAGTCTGGCTTCGATCCATACAACGTTTCGAATGGACTTATGTTAGGTCGAGCAGTGTTCGGAATTCGATTGATAGTGTAAGCTGATGCCATAACCGCCTCACCCCACGAAGAACGATTAGACCCCATGTAGTACATCATTTTACGGGCCATCTTGACAAGAGTTCGATTCATCCTCTCTGCTAATCCGTTTTGTTGAGAGTTGTATGGCACGCTTGTCTGGTGGATGATACCTCGATCAGAACAGTACTTGTTGAATCGATGATTCACATACTCTCCAGCAATGTCACTACGGATGCACTCAATCTTGCAATTCGTTTGCGTCTCCACCATAGCACAGAACGTCTATAAACGTTCGAAACTTAAAACTTTGCTGCCAGCAAGTAAATGTTGACATATCGGCTGTAGTCGACGATAAATGTGAGTATGTATAGAGCTCCACCCTTCGACTTCGGGTTCATAGGAACCATAACATCTGTGTGCATGATCTCGAGTGGTCGACTTGTCTTGACCTCACTTCCTGAAGTATGAATGAACGGGCTGCTTGTCATTTCCCGCGTGCACATCCATCACATAAACCATCATTAGATGCAACAACTTCTGTAATACCATCGCAAGACTTCATCGCTTACATGACCTTGTTTGCAGACACATGACCAAGGCGAGCATGCCAGAGTCCACTAATGTCATTGATCGCGACATTGCTATCAGCCTTGTGTGCCTTACATGTGATATGTTGCTTCACATTCCACGCAAACAACTTTCCCACTCGCTAAATAACTGCCAAAATCACGTTGTCACTCATCAGAACTTCTTGATCGCGCTTAAACTGAACAAGCTCGCCTCGACATGTCAGCGCTGCTACCGACACAAGCTTCTTGTCCATCCCAAGCACATGCAACATCTTCGTCAGCTTGACTTTCCGACCATTCTCGAGTAGAAATTGTACTGTGCCTCTTCCTTGTGTCTTCAACTGCTGTCTATTCGCCACAGTGATGTAAATTGGGGAGGTCAAATCTTCGTACACCACGAATTCACGTTTGCCATCAGTAATTTGAAGACTTGCCCCACTATCGAGCAACCAAGTCGAACTCGAAATTGGATTGTCACTGGATGCCAAGAAAACAAATTAATCACCAGGCCTCGATGGCTTCACGTTACGTGAAAAGGGGTAGCCCGTTATATGAAAATCGTCTTTAAGATGAAATTGACAATAGCGAATATTACGTTGAACATTCTTTCAACGATATCACAGAGCATGATGATATTGTTGAAGATGACCGAAGAGTATACTCATTGGTTGATATCGCGATGATGTCAACCCACCAATCGCTGCTAGACGCGCGCAATGGGTGTTGAGTAGACGTCATCATACATTTAGTTACATTAGTACAATTACGTCTGGACAAATAGACATACAAGAGTTATAGGACTTGATTATATTAATTTCAGTTTTACTTTTCCTACGGCTAGAGTCTTTCACCTTAGTCGTTCTATGTTCCTCTGTGTAGTTCTACATCTAGCTGGGCACTGACTATCACTACAGTCAGTGATAGTAAAATACGTACTGGTTTATCAGTACGTAGTCGTCGGTGCCCCGTTACATTACGACACTGCGTTAATTTGTGTCCGTGCCGTCCACATTCAAAGCTCTACCTTGAATACTCGCATTGGCCCATCCTCTCCCAGAATGTTGGTAGCTATCTCGATTTTCTTCTCACCCACGGTGTCCTCGTCCAATTTGAAAGCGTCGAGGTACATTGCGCTTAGCATGCGCCATGAAAGCGGTTTCTTTCTTGTCTCGCTTCTAAGGCGTGTCGCACTCACGGCGGAGCATTTATTTTGCGTCCATCAGCGTCACGTTGCTATGTGCCTCAATTATGCGCACCATATCGTCATAGTCAGATGATAGGCTTTCAAAAAGTAAAATCAACTTCTCATCACCATCAATGCTGTCACCGTCAGCTCTGAGCTTTATACACAGCTCATCAAACTTCAGTAGAAGTTCCATAAGACTCGTACCAGTCTCTGTAACGGGGTTACACGTCGACTATTAGTCGACAATAGGTGTGGTGCACACAAAGGATGGGATCCCCTTTATAGTAACATTAGAACACAGTATCAATTGTTGAATACTGATGTCTGTCAACCATTGATTACGAGATCTTTTGATAGGCTTATTTAGGACATTAGCGAGTAGGTCAAATACTTTGTTCTAAGGTGTTCTTTTAGGTTAAAAGAAGAAATAAATTCAGCTCCCATTTTAATCCGATAGACACTTGCCTCTTTGAGGCGTCTTGTGATATTTAAGGAGGTAGCAACGCCTTGTTAAGGCAGCTACTCCTTGTTCACTCTGTGCGTTTGATTCTTTGAATCGTTTGGTCCCCCCTGGAACAGGGACCGTAAGCTCTCTGATCTTGTTGACTCTTTGAGTCGGGTTCTTTAAACCAAGCCTTAGCTCTTTGAGCTGTTGACTCTTTGAGCCGGTTTCTCTGAACCTTAAGTTGCTCATAGAGCGTGAAGTCTTCCTCTGACTTCAGGAGCTGTGTAACTTTGCTACAGTCTCCATCACAAAATCATGGAGTTTCTTCCGAAGTTGTACTCGGTTGTGAAGATTCTTCTTCGCAAAGAACGTCTTCAGTACCTCCTAAGCCTCAATAGCGGGCTCACGTTCCCAAACCATACATTGATAGGTTGGAGAGAGCAGCTTCATCAGCACATCCAGAGCCTTCATATCGGCGACTTTCCGTCCAGGATTTTTCCCGAAGCACTGCCGGCTCTGGCTTAACTAAGACGTGATCCAAAAGATCCTTGCGCGCAAGTGCCATGCGTGCCTTGTATTCCCACACGAAGTAATTGTTATCCGTGAGGATGTCATTGGGAGCTAATGTATTTGGGCTCATAACCTATTACGAAACCTCAACTACCTCTCTTTGCTGCAAAGTGGAAAGTAGTATTAAGAGTTAAACTACCACTTAAATGAATGTATAAATCACCTCATAAACTGATCGCTCAATCCAGATCATTCAAATACCATTGTCCTTGCAAGTTGCCTTTTTCACGACGCGCCCATCACCGTCGTCACTCGTGATCCTCTACAAGTTTGCTGTTGCCATCATGTCCTCAAACTTAGAAAATTCTCGGTAGTTCTTCACCAGAAAGTTTGCGGTGGCATCCTCCGCTTTTCCAGCTTCCTTAAACTTATCAGCAATCCAGTCGGGTGCTTTGTTTTCCTTGCGCCATGTGCCAAACAAAGCATCCGGGAAGTCGTTGTCTACTTTTACAACATCTTTTAGCCATTCGTCGAAGTCACCTTTCGCCCCACCGAGTCTCAATAGTTCGTCCCGCGCCGCCTTTATCTCTCGCGTTATGATCCAGCCTTTCTCTTTGTATCGCTCAAAGACTGATCGGTAGTGGGTCATCAGAAGCTTTGCAGCGGGGTGATCAGCTTTGCCAGCTTCCTTGAACGCATGGGTAACGAAGTCGGGACTCATTCCTTTGTACAACCAGAAATCGAACAAACCGTCCGGTTTGTCATTAAGTTTCCTTGCAGCTTTCGTCAGCCAGGCGTCGAAGTCTTGACCCTCTCGCAACTTGCCAGGCGGTACGAGCCCATTCTGCGCCTGTTCCTCTGGTGTCACTAGTTTCTTACCAAACACTTTTTCGATACGCAATGTTATCCCCTTGACCAGCGCATCAATGATTGAACCTGCTACAGCCTTCTCGCTTTCTGCGTTTGCTTTGTCACGGGCATAATTTAGTGCTCGCAATGATGGAGGGATATGCGTGAGCTCACTGAAGTGGGGAGGCAGAAGATTGACCAAGGTCGTCGTCGGTTTCGTGGAGACCGTGTCGTCGATGAGAACAAGCGCGACTATCGCAGTGAAGAGTAGATTGACTGGCGGATGCATCTGAGCGGAGCGTCGAGGGTGCTGAACGTGAAGTCTTTGAGGAAAAATGCGGACTGAAAGGATGCTGGATAGACGCGTCCAAGCACTGTTCGCTGGTACGAGAGTTCTTGCGTCTGCGCTGCATCTGTTGGTCGAGAACACATACGACGCGTCTATTTGTATCGTCACGTCGTCACGAGATGTTTTACACGACAGCGCGATGCTGATCTTCGTGGAGAGTACATTGCCTGTGAATGGCGAAAGCTCGTGCGCAGATAGACGTAAGAAACTCGATTCCACACTTGTCGCCGACTTTGACACGCATACGCTACGATGGCCTGGAAGCTGCTCTGGCGGCCGACAAACAAAAGAGTCTGCGCAATGGAAGCACATGGGCTCGCTTTCATTAGCCTACGGTGGAATTGGTCCTCTCTCCCACATCTCTTGGTGCCCACGTGTTGCTCGTCGCACAAGCGTAAGTCCATCTGAAGTGATTACGGCGCTCTATAGCAAAAAAAAGTGCGTTTAACGGAACTTGAGCACGTTGTTGCTCAACAAAACGGATCTCACGATAGGTTTAAGGCACTCGCACGGGCTGCTGTGGTAAGCGAGAAGTTCATTCAGCACAAGCAGGTGGACTGGCATGGCAGGAAATGCGATAGCCACGTCGGGTTAATTGTTTTCGGAGAGCCAGACGCTCCAGCAAATGATCGGGTCGTTTTCTACCACGGACATCTGCGGTTGCAGCTCGTTGTCGTCGTTCGAGCAGACGATCTGTTCAATTTTTACCGAGAAGTTAATAGTGCAGCCCATCTTCGCTGTCTGAGCCCATCATCAGGTCGTTTCTACGTCATGTACTTGTGGGCGGACGATCGGTTCGTCTTTTCCTGTGCACTTAGGTTTGTGCAAGTCACCGCTCTTGATCGAACGAAGTAGCGATGTTTGTCGCGACGTGTCGTTGTAGCTTATCAGCAATATGGGCTCAGTCAGATCGCATAAAAAAAACGGTCACATCGGCCGCCATAAGCAGCAGATTGGGGCGCGTGTGGGGCGCTACCGAGAGGAAAAGGACTGCAGGTCGAACGAAGAAAAAGTGCGAGGGGACCGGATGTAAATAGATAGAAAACGAACAAATGCGAATTCCAACGTTTGCATGTGTCGATTACCGAGCGACAACGTTCCATGTCGTAGGCTCTTTTCAGACTCGCCTAACCTTCTTTGCCTCGACCGTGCATCCTGTCAAGTCCAACAAAAGCAGCAGCTAAACATTTCGTTCATCCACATCGCACGACGCAGGAACACACAACTACACGAAAAACGCGACACTGATGACCACTAGCATTGGAAACGGTCTAGGAGCAAGTAGCAACGGACTTTCGCGAGTGTCACATACGAAATCAAGGTGAGGCACGTCCGATGCCTCGAACCATCTGTCGACTACACCGAGCGTCCGAGTAGACCTCGGGCGCCTGTTACCAGATACGAAGGAGGCAATGCACAGGGCTTGGGTACGAATCTGGTGGATAGCCTGTTCTATCTGCTTCGCCACCCGATGGACACAGCGCAACCGATGGGTGCACAAGCACGAGGGGACGACCGCCAACCAAGCGAAATCCGGACTACAAGGAAGCCTCCTTCGGCAGCTTCATGCTGTAGCGGTTAGGGAGCACCGGTTCAACCGCAACGGGGACGACTGCATTTTTTTCAGGCTAGCGACGGAGTTGTTTCACGAACGGGTTCCTCAGCGGCCGTTTGCTTGATATAACCCTGGACGGCATATACCGTCACGAGCAGGGGTGCTCGAGCGTCTAGAGACTTTTCAGCAACCTTGTATACCGTAAAGGATAATAGAATGCCTGTTACTCTCTCTCACCATCTGTCGACTTGTTTGTCAAGCGAGTGCGTCCCTCGTTTCAATTACGCATGGTGGTTGAAGCTTGTGACACAACAATTGCCGATTCGTAGGCAAAGTCTCTATGTCATACTTCGATCTTGCGAGGGGAACAAGATAGGAAAGTGACATTCATAAACATGTACGCTAGGTTCCAGCTCGCAGTATAGAATTCGTATCTTGTAGATTAGCCACGCCGGTAGACCAACTCTTACCTAGCATTATTGGGCAAGGCCCACATGGGATAGTATAGTGCTTGAGGTCCGAAAGGTATCATAGCCCGTGACCCCCTCATCGCTTTAGTTGAAACCCTCATCTACAAGGTTTATTTTCACCCTTCATTTCCAGGTGGTGGCTGCTGTCAGTACGTGACAAAAACGACTATTGGTGCAACGAGTTGTGCGGATAAGTAAGGAATTGTTGCTGGTCAGTGCGCCAAATACTATGCAGGAGCGCGCATTGACATGTGCGTTACAAAGTTGGTGGATTGTGAAATGACGACTGTCGCACCAACATCGGAGTCCGCGATGGCCAAGGTAAACATATACTTGACAAGCTAGTCTACAGATTTCCGCGGTGGTTGATATTACGTGCATGACGAGTGCATTCACTGCTCAACTTCGCTAGCCTGATTGTTCGATACAGGTTCACAGCATAGCTGTCAACAGTCTTTTTACTTCCTCAGCCTGGTCACGCATTGCAGTCAAGTTAGCTTTGTAACCTGGTCACACAGGAAGACATACCTAAGGTCGTTGATCGTTCGTTCTGGCGTCGCGAGATTTAGAGGAAACATGCGGATCTATACTGAAGGACGTGCGGGCAGGCGCGAAGTGTGAGATGACCGGTGCCGAAAATAAGGCGGTGTATAATAGGAAGTCGACGGAATTGAACGATATTTTCGCAAAATCTCGAGCACTTTCGTCTCAGACGGGTTTTGCTTTACACGATTGTGTGATACGAAACGACACCAGCAACGATTCGCAACGAAGGACATGCTGCTTGCGCTCAACAAGGAGCGTGTGTCGATCAAGTCTGTGGCCCTATCGCTTATGTTCCATCTATTCATCCTCAGTGCATATGCGGCTACATTCAGTTGCACCTCTCATGTGACCACAACTTGTCGAACAAAAAGGAGCAGGCGCGGTAGTTCTCTCGACTGTGATTATTATACACGCCGTGCAGAGTAGCTTTACGTCTATGCGCCGGAATTCGCTTGGCTTCTGTTTGATGGGGGGGAGGCGAAAGAGCGATTGTGTGCAGGGCTCTTGATCGATTAGACAGATGCTATCTCACTCACGCATGTTCTCTATGTTATGTCGAAGGAAAATTGGAAAGTGTATTGAATTAGTTTTCCTATGAACTTACTCGTCGTGTAATCTTCTTCTACCTTGTAGCTTTCCCTGATCTTGATGGATTCTAGAACATACACTCAAGGTAGTTCTAGAATCATCAGACTGCACGTGAACCGTTTACACCCTGTCGTATCATCGCTGTCTTGTCACTTGTGCGTAGCAAATCACAGTTGGCTTTGTTGACCGTGCATTGACAGTGCACACATCAACACTCCCACTCACTGTTGATGCTCGGATCCATCACGTACCTTGATGTCCATTTCGGCACGGAGGTACTGGAATCGCTTGGTGCCGAGTGCCTTCGTTAGTATGTCGGCAAGTTGATGTTCCGTCTCCTTGTATATCACCTTTATATCACCGGCCAGAACTTTCTCTCGGACAAAGTGGTGACGTATGTCTACGTGTTTAGTCCGCGCATGGTATCCTGGGTTTGTTGCGAGAGCAATGGCTCCTTGATTATCCTCGTAGATGACAGTAGGATTCTTCTGCTCGAATCCGAGGTCAGCCATTAACATCCTTGCCCATAGTATGTCTTGAGTGCACATGCTTAGCGCCATGTATTCAGCCTCAGAAGTACTCAATGCAACGGTGCGTTGGTACTTAGACTTAAATATAACAGGGCCTCCATTAAGCACCAGAAAAACACCAGATACCGATCGACGGTCGTCCAAGCTGTTTCCCCAATCGGCGTCACTATACGCTGTTAGTTGTTGCTGTAGTTTGTCAACACTGTAGTGTAATCCAAAACCACTCGTCGAGCGGAGGTATCTTAGCACTTTGATCAGTGCCTTCCAGTGTTGTGAGCCAGGGTTTTCTGCAAATCGTCCAAGTTGGCTCACAGGAAATGCTGCGTCTGGTCTGGTCGTGGTCACTATAAACAGCAGTCGTCCCAGCAATTGGCGGTACGGTGTACGACTCATGGCTTGTCTTTCGACATCGGACTTTGGACTGTTTGCGCTGGACAGTTTCATGCTCTGATCACATGGGTTACCAGTTGGTCGGGCTTGAGTCTGTCCAAACATGTCTGCAGTCTCCTCGATGTATCTTTGTTGCGAAATAAACATCTCACGCTTCTTTCGGTCGTACATAACTTCCATTCCAAGCAAGTGCTTCACTGGACCAAGGTCTTTGGTTTGAAACCGCTGAGAGATTTGTTCTTTCACCTTGCGTACCGTGGTTGCTTCTTTTGCAGCCACAATCATATCATCAACGTATAAGCACACGTACGCCCAGCCTTCACCATCCTTTATCTTGTATATGCATCGATCAGCACCGCACGCGACAAATCCCATCTCCAGTAATGCATTGTGAATCGTCTTATTCCAGGTATTTGCAGCCTGCTTAAGTCCGTAAAGCGCGCGATTCAATTTAAGTACAAACTCGCTGCCAATTTTCATCCCTTTGGGTGGTAACAAGTATACTTCTTCTTGTAGGTCGGCATTCAGGTAGGCCGTATCAACATCAAGCTGGTCGATCACATATCCTGCTGCGCAGCAAATCGACAATAGCATCCTGATGGAGTTCATACTGGCGACAGCCGCGTACGTCTCGAAAAAGTTGATACCATATTGTTGCAGGAATCCGAGCGCCACAAGTCGTGCTTTGTATCGACCATCACTCTTTTTAGCCCATACCCACTTCGATCCAATTGGTTTCATTCCAGGCTTGCGTACAATTGGTGTCCACGTCTTATTACGCTCATGAGCCGCAAATTCATTCTCAATAGCTTTAATCCATTGGTATCTGTCAGGTCCATTCACTGCCTCCGCATAAGAGCCAGGTAAATCACGAGCTATCATGGTAACTTCTGCTATCAATGCCACATCGCTGTTTATTCGCGATCTCTTGGAAGGAGGTTCGTCATCTTCACTCCCACTGGCTTCATGGTTTTCATTGTATGGCACAATGCTGTTTTCTGTTGTGGTACTAGTGTTATTGTCTTCCAACAAGAGCTGAACAGGTTGCTCAATTGGTAGCATTTCATCAACACCTCCTCGTGGTCCGGATTCACTTCTCCCACTGGCATCGTCGGTAAGAACACGATACTGATGCTCGCGACCGGAACGACGCTTAAGTTGTGGACGGAACACCATCGCTCCAGAGTCGTGCGGATTGTGTAATTCGAGTTCTTGGTGACGAGGTCCTTGTTGAATTACTTGGGAAGTGTGTTGATGTTGTTCGTTGTTCATATTTCTTGCAAGATAATGATTGCTTGTCTCACTCGAAGGTGTGTTACTGATGTCATTGTCAGAACTCGGTACTTCCATCTCCACATCTTCGACAATTTCGTGCTCTTCCATTTCAACATCTTCATCACCATCTTGTTGCAAGTTACTTGGTTGATCTCCATCATCGTCATCTTGTCGTATTATTATCATCTTCGGGTGTGGTACAACTGGATTGTCTTCGTAAATGTTACTAACTTCACGTTCATCTAACGCGATCGAACGACTGATCTTGATCGTACCAGTCTCCAGATCAAGCACCCTGTAACCCTTGGTGTGTCTTGCATATCCTAACAGCATGCAGCGAAACCCTTTCGCGTCGAATTTCGTGCGCTTTGAGTCATCGATATGTGCGTATCTAAGTGAACCAAATACACGTAGGTGAGAAATTTCGGGCTTCGTCTTAAAGCACAGTTCAAAAGGAGTCTTCTCCTCGTGATTGCAGTTCGTGGTTCTGTTAAGTAAATACACCGCCGTATTCACAGCTTCGGACCACCACTTCTTTGCCACCCGCTTGTAATGCATCATGCTTCTGGCCGTCTCAACAATCGTACGGTTCATCCGTTCAGCAACACCGTTTTGTTGAGGACTGTAGGGTACTGTCTTCTGATGGATGATGCCGTGTTTCTTGCAGTACGAAGCAAACCTCTTGTTTTTGTATTCACCGCCATTGTCAGTACGTATGGCCTTAATACGAAATCCACACTGCTGCTCCATCTCGGTCCGAAATTCAATGAACTTGGACAGTACTTCACTCTTGGACTTCAGAAAATATACAGTCACTAATCTTGAAAAATCGTCCACGAGAGACAATACGTATCGTGACCCACCAGGAGTTGGGTTCTTCATAGGGCCCATGACGTCAGAGTGAATAAGCTGCAGTGGCTGCGTTGTCTTTGTCTTCGACTCTTGTGGAAAACTCGCGACACACAGTTTCCCTTGTAGACACCCTCCACACAAATTCTTGTTCGTGTCAGGTACTACATTCGGTAGTCCTTCCGTAGCCTCCTTTGTCTTTTTAAACTTGTTGTGGCTAATGTGACCCATTCGTGCATGCCACAGCTCCCACTTGTTACCAGCGTCTTCATGTTCTACCAACATCGCGTGCTCATACTCCACATCAAGAGTGTGCACGCTTCTCATGCGCTTCGCAGAAATCATCAACACATTATCCTTGTAGATACCGCAGTATTTTTCACCGAATCGAACGTTGTACCCACGCTGGACGATCTTGGGCACCGCTAGTAGTCGTCTGTCCAGCGTTGGAATGTGCAATACTTCATTCACAGTCACTGCTGTACCATTCGTACAGCGAAATCGAATGCTTCCTCGTCCAATTGCATTCATGACCGCACCATCGGCAACGCGAACTTGAATGGCTTCTCTCAATTTCTCGTACTCAAAGAAATCTTCTTCGGCTGGGGTCATATGTGACGAGACGCCGCTGTCCAACAACCATCCTTTTTTTTAATCCGTTTGTGGCCGTGAATGCCATTTCATTTCCATCATTCTTGGTGGCAGATCGGCACTCAAACTGCTTGTGTCCGATCTTGTTACAGTGGTGACACTTCCCACGAAACGGCTGTTTCTTCTTCCAGCTCTCTTCTGCACCACGTTGTTTGCGTATTCCACGACCACGATCCTGTTTATGGCCTCCACGACCAACGCGGAAAGCTCCTTCGGAGACCTCTTGCTGCTGCTTCTTCTTGTGTTCCTTCAACAGCTTTTCTTTCACATCCACCATCGTCACACCCATGGAATTCTCAATGATGGACACAATCATCTCGTACTCTGCCGGTAAGCTACTCAGCAGAACTGTCATCTGGCGTGCGTCGTCCATGGTATCGCCCACCGCCTCCATACTCAAAACAAGTTCATCGAAACGGTCGAGGTGGCTCACCATGTCGCCTCCCTCATCCATACGAAATTCGTGCAATCGACGTGTCAGTGCCACTCGATTCTGAAGGTTTGTCTTGTTGTAGTAGTCGCGTAGTGTTTCCCATGCTTCCTTCGCAGTGCGAGCATGTCGGATCTTCGTCTGATGCTTTACTTCGATCCCTTGAGCAATAATAGCAAACGCCTTCATGTCCTTGACCTTCCAATCCTCCGTCATCTCCTTCTCCGACTTCACTTCCAAGATGTGCTCTAGCAGGCCCTTCCTCGCAAGTGTCATCTTCATATTGAATTCCCAATGGAAGTAGTTGTCTGTTCCAAGCAGGTCATCGGGTTTCTTCATCGTACTGGCTTCTGGCAGAGGTCCTTAAGCTCTTGGGCTCATAACCTGTTATGTCGAAGGAAAATTGGAAAGTGTATTGAATTAGTTTTCCTATGAACTTACTCGTCGTGTTATCTTCTTCTACCTTGTAGCTTTCCCTGATCTTGATGGATTCTAGAACATACACTCAAGGTAGTTCTAGAATCATCAGACTGCACGTGAACCGTTTACACCCTGTCGTATCATCGCTGTCTTGTCACTTGTGCGTAGCAAATCACAGTTGGCTTTGTTGACCGTGCATTGACAGTGCACACATCAACACTCTATTCCGCAGGTTTACCCGTGCTGGTACATTGTGACCCGATCACCCTTCCGATGTTTCCCGTCCACATTGTATGCATCTCGTTTCAGAACAAAGACTTTTACAGCTTAGACAACGTACGCGATATGTTGTGCAGAGCATTGTGCTCACAATATCATCTTTCTTACACATGGATACGCAATGCTTGGCACATGATCAGAGACTCCGGAACGCATTAACACTTCGGCTATCGCAGAGTAGGCGTGGGTAGTGCTGCCTGAGCTGGATGGCTGAGAGTAGTTTATTTGCTCACAGGCAACACGAATACGTCGGATGTAGTTCGTTTGGTTCTCGCCAACCGACTGTGTAGGTCTTGCGATATCAATTGTAAAAACCGCACGTGGTCATCTGTGATCATGGTAATACACGTTCTGACTCCATTTCGTAGCCAGGAACAAGGGTCTCTCGCGACGATGCGAACTACAGGACCAGCCTATCACTAGCCAATTATCCTTGCTGTTTCCAGTTTGACAAGAACAAACTTGAGATTGAAAGCATCGTATTGTCAGGTATGTAGTATCACGCGCCAACGTCAAGTGAACGGCTTTCAGTCACACCCGCAGCATCAAGCAAGAGTTACTTCGAAATACATTTGCGCTTGACCATTCGCTGTCAAGACTTTATCGGATAGTACCCGCGCGTGTTTTTGCAACGCAAAATGAAAAGTGAGGTTCCATCTTAGCGATTTTTTCTGCCCCACTGACAAATGTACATCGGACACTGAACTGTATATGGAACAGCTGCATGTCCCACATTATGCAAGATCTTACCACTGCAGCGTTCGTGCCACAACATTCTTTGTTTCGATGGTTACGATTCCTTCTGACAGTCGACGCTCACCTTTCCACGTGCATGTTCCCAGCTCGAGCGTGCGGCGGCCTTTGTCCCACGTAGGACATCTTTGTTACAAAACAACAGATCTTTTGATGCTGCAGCGTACTTTTTTCGCGCTAAAATTTGCTTTGAGCAGAGTATGACATGCACCGTCAACGCGTCCAGACGGACCCAACTGATACGTAGAACACAACTGTTTGAAAACGCTGCTGCAATTTGAACATCGCCTGGAACATACCCGATCGAAGCGATTTGTCCCTTCTTATTTGGATGACAGCACATGCTGTATCGTGAATGGTAGAATAGACGTACAACTCTGTCATCACAGCTCCTGTAAAAGCTGCATCGTTCACGCACGATGTTGTTACAATGAAGTCGCTTTGTGCATTACTTAACGACGCTCTGCTGTTTCAATTGTTGTCATGCGGTTTCGAGGATACAAACATGGACGAAAGAGGACAAAGGTGCAGGGTATGCCATGGTGGTCAAGACCGCAACTACTTGCACGTGCCGCACGGCTTCGGACCAAGACATGCCATCGAGTCACTACTTTTGTACAATGTTGACGTGTGCAGCTTCACGCCTGTACACTAGAACGACGAGTAGGTTGTGCGACTCACAGCAGCTGACAGTATCTTGCTTGAAAGCCTACAACAAGGCAATCTGGCCGTCGGTGGCTGGTATCCATTTGTACGTTATTGCTCCGAGCTCATATAACGTAAGAATAGGAAGCAGTTGTCCAGAGTAGCTCGAATTTGCCATGCACGACGAGTACGAGGATCGTATCGTCAAGTGACTCTTTCGGCGGTAGGTAACCACATGTAACGACAATAACACGTGTACGACGATAATTGTGGATTACGTCGACGAAAGGGTCCAAATGAACGAGCGAACGGGGGGGGCAGCTTGTGGCAGCAGCGTTCGAAAGCAAGGGAAAAACCTCAGCGCTGCAGGCTGAGCAATTAGGGGGAGGAGGAATTAGGGCTCACTCTAATGAAGCCGGTACACGAGTCGTACTTAGGCGAGTTCCCCCGTCCGCCATCATCGTCAGCCACAAATGACCGCAGGGAAAGAGGAGGACGCATGGGAGTGGGAAGACGACGCTCTTGCGTCGTCTGCCTCTTCTCCCGCAAGCTCCGATGTGCGTGATCATCAAGAAGAGACGCAGACGCATACAGACATGCCCTATTCATCTCTGTCCGATGACAGCAAGTGGCGCTTTGACCTCTCGGAACTCGAGCTCGAGATGGCGCGCGGCCTTCCACTTGCCTCTGCGTCGTCATTTAGCGTCGTTGAAGGCGCTACGAGAACTGAACAGACGCTCATAGCATCGACGGATGCCATGACTACGCGTCTACGATCGGACAATGAGCGGGTACGGACGCTGCAGGCGCTGGCGCTTGTTGTTCGACTGCATGTTTTGTCAGCACGTGGCAGCTGTGCAGAGCTCGCGAGTGGACTGGAACCGCCTGTGGATGTGATAACGGACATATATGAGGAGCTGAGACAATTGGCTGGAGACTGGGGCAACAAAGAGCTGCTGGAAACGACGTTGCGGCCGCCGAGACGCCAGCAGCTCGAGGAAATGACCGGTCTATTGCATCATGCTCTCACTGCCGACGACGAGGACTTGACGCTGCTTCAGCATGTGCTAGAGCAGCTTTTTCGTGGCCTGACGGACCAGACGCTCGTACTGTCGACCAAGTGGCTCGAACAAAGTGCTGACGAAGACAGAGAGGCAGAGACAGAGACGACGAGCTATTTGACCCAGATCTTGGCACTGAATGAAAGTCATCGCGATGGTACGAGCAGCGCCCTGACGTTATCAGAGGCAGAGGTTTTCCAGGATGCAAAGGATATCGGTCGAGATGAATTGCTCATCAATGGAGTACGGGTGGAAGGCACACGAGAATACGATGCAGTAGTGGAAGCGCTGCAACGCGAGCTAGAGCTCGTGCTGGCTCGTCAAGCTGGCAAAACAGTCGAGCAGACGTCCGTGGATGTAAACAACGCGCTGCAGTCGATCGCGATGGCTGTGCTGCATGCGATCAACCGTACAGAGTCAGGTGGAAGCTCCTACGAGCTACTGAGCAAGTTTGTAAGCAGCCACGAAGTGGACCGAGTGCTGCTTCGTCCGAACTCCGCTCGAGCTGCTCCGCTCGAAGTTTGCGTGGATGTGGGTCCGTACTTGGAGTCCATTCCTGGGCGAGACATATCCACCTGGGCATTTGGTCTGCGTGTGAAGCTCGTGGCTGTGACTTGGTACCTGATATGTGACGCGCAAGACCCGACGAAAGAGCTGCACGAGTTCGAGACCACGTTCTGTAACCGCCTTGCTTTCCCAGTCGGACTCACGCCGTTCCATCCGCTGGAATGCATACGCAAAGATCGCGGCGATGTTGCAGTTCGCTTAGTGTTGCCAACGGAGGACTCATCGTGCTCGCAGAGCTCTCCGCTTCGGCACCATCTAGACGAGCAAGCTCGTGCATAGACTTTCGTGGCGACGTACTTGATTACGTCTGCTCGAAACTCCCAGACTGGAAGCTATGGACATGTTGTTGGGACTCACAAAGCCGTGTCTCTCTTCAGACTACTATTCGCTTTATTTGATCTTCTACAATATGCACACACCGTCACCGTTGGGGGTGATCATGACGATGCTGGAGTACCGTGTGCCCAACGGGTCGTTGTACACACTGCCTTCGGAACTGCGGCCTTCTGCTGCCGCAGACATTGACCCGCGCTCGCTACCGGAACCCATCGTCTCATGCTCGCGGTGCTGCTTCTTCACGTACACAACGATGGCACTGATGGCCACACAGCCCAAACCGCCAACGACCACAAACATGGCCGATGTACCTGCACCGTTTTCGCCCGAGACATCCTTAGCACGTTTGGACAGCGCCTCTTGACTCTCCGTGGTGCTGCTGCCAGGCGCTGTTGACGGCTGCGGCGCAACTGCGGCCACCGGTGCTGCGGCCGGACTCGGTCCCGAGGTAGCGGGAGGATCCACTCGCAATGCCGTCTTCGCAGACTCCGGTGTCGGAGTCTGAACAACAATTTCGTCTGAGCTCTCTGTCGATGTCGGCGCATGCGTCAAGTCCGCAGTCAAAGAAGAGGCGGAAGCGACATTGAACTCGCTCGACTTCAGCTCAAAGCCACCGTCGACTGCACCAGAGGCGGTAGCAAAAGCACTTTCATTTCCAGCAGACACTCTCGCGGACATCGTATCGCGGGTTGCGTTCATCGTCGTCAAAAGCGTTTCGGTCGCGTTCGCCGTATCGGCTCTGGAAAACAAGAACGCCAAGGACGGGTCGCGATTTGACACTGTATCATCGCTCTCGGAATCGTCACTGCCAGAGTTGACGTTGTCAGAGCTGCCGATGACAGACACGATCTGATTGCGTTTAGAGCTCAAGCCATGCTCATTCTCGCCCGAATTCGTCTCAGTCTCACGGTCCAGCGGCTGCGTGACAGTCGCGGGCGTCCGATTCGACTGTGTCTTCACTTCCTCCTCTTGTGATGGGATCTCCTCAGCCGTGATCACGGACGCTTCAGTTTCGCTGGGCGTCATCGGTACCGGAGTCAGCGTTCCTGCGCTCTCGAACGTCCTGTTGCGCACAGTACCGGTTGCTGCATTCTTTGCTGAGGTATGAGTGGATGCAGCGGGAACGGTAGCAGTCGTAGGCGCTGTCGTCGTTGCGGCAGACGTCATGGAAGTAGCAGCATTTGCAGTGCTATGAGTCCCCATTTTCATATCAGGCAACTCTGTCTTTGCTGTAAAGCCAGTAGTGTTCGCTGGCGTACTCGCAACTGGGGCCACCAACTTCGTCGTATCGGATGCTGTGTCATCTAACGTCCTCGGCGTGAAGTCAGGAGTGTGCGTTGCTGTATCCTCGACAGGAGCGTCGACACGGAACTTTGCATTTCTTACTACCTCCCTTCTTTTCAAGTCCGCTCTTCTGTCCGTCGTGTTTACTATAGGCGCCACTGTCTCACCCGTTGCATCAAGCGTCGTACTCACATTATAATCAGACGTATTGGCAGCCGTGTTTGCAACCAAAACCACTGGCTTCACAAAGTCATCGACTGGTTTCACAAAGTCATCGACTGAATCTGTCATCGTCTTCGTACGGTTCGCAGCGTTCGTCGCAGCATCGACGACACGATCCATGCGGCTAATCGAGTTCGTCACTACGTCCACGACTCGAGTCACCGGCTTTACAACCTCATACGCTGTCTGATTCCTTGTCTTCGCTGCGACGTCAGTGGTCTTCACGACGGGAGCCCCCAACGTCGACGCATTCTCTGCCTTCCTGCCCATATCGGTGACATTGCTCACCGCCTCCTTTTCCACATCCATCGTCTTCAAAGCAAGCGATCCAGCGTCTTCGACTGCGTCCAGTGTCAAAGACCCGGCATCGTCATCTTGTGCCTCCAGTTGAAGCATCCCAGTCTTCCCAGCACTTGACGCATCATGCGTCTGCTTCTCCAGCGTAAGGTCAGCAGCTGTGCGATTCTCTGTCAGTCCGACAGTCGCATTGACGCCCGAGTCGGCAGCTGGAACAACCGTCTCGACGACAGTTGCCACTGTCTCGGGGTGCAGACGGCCGACGTCACTTTGTCTCCTTATATCAACATCCACATCATCCGTGTCGCGACGAATGACAGCATCGAGCGAGCCACTGAATGTCGAATTAACAACTGGCGGTACCCCATGATCCAGAGGCATTGGCCGTATCGAATGATCGACCGCGTCCGACGCGGGCACAAACGAGTCATCGTCTGTTGACCGCACGGCGTTGTCCAGTGCCCCTTTTCCACTGCTTTTCCACGTCTCTGTGTCACTTGTCCTCATCCAACTGTCACTATCGTCATCATTGTCATCATCCTGACTGTTGCCAACTATGGCCCCAACAGTCTCGAAATTGCCCGATAAGTTCGTTTCTCCCTCCGGCCGTGACTCGACATGGAGAGAAACCGACTCGGGTAGTACCGGTTTTATACCGACAACGCTCGTACCGGCGAGAGCAGTCGGCTCTCGGAGCCCAAACGGCGGCGGTGCATTGCTGTCGAGTGCATACGCTCGTGCGGCTAATGCCAATGCGACGACGAGACAGACACTCGAAGTCATCTGCGCGAAGACGCGCCGCATTGTCGCGAGGTCGACGGGTCAATGTAGCGGCACAGTCCAACGCCGAGAGTCGGCCAATCCGTGGGCTGGTCGGGCAATCGGGTGGTCGGTCGGTCGGTCGGTCGGTACTTTGGGTCCGAAGGCCAAAGTGAAAATGTACTACTACAACAACAACAACAACAACTACTACTACTACTACTGCGTCCACTCGTTTTACTACTTTTGCCACGACGACTAGTGCTACTGATTAGCTGTCGACTGTCACGATTGTGCATAGTAACACCAAAGTATGCGAAAAGACAGACGCTGGCGAAGCGGGGCGGAAAAGGGGCAGAAAGGGAGAAAAAAGGAGGAGGAGGAGGAATCACGAAGCTGAAGAGGCGGATCGGACGGTGTACCACTTTTGGTCGCGCGCCTTTTTCGGACACAGAGATACACTGAAGAGATGTTTAGCAGTCGGTCGCGTGTCGACTTCTGTCTGTCTCTCTGCGTCGATTACGATACGATCGAGTCATTAGACTCAACCATTTGCGTCAACAAACAGGGCGCGAGGGCACTCGAGCCGCGTGGCTCGCCTCGCCTCGACGCTCCTTTTCTTCGCTCTCACGTGCGCGAGCAGTGATCAGGACAAGAACGGGCGAATCGCCACCGTCTGCTACTGTTGGCAGCGTGTGTAACGCCATCGACTAGAAAGTTTCTCAAACGGTGCGGACGGACGACGCGCGCACGTTTCGCGTCACGCTCGACATGCAGGAACCCGTCTGTGCGTTTTTGTGTCCTTGACTCCTCTTGCCACGTTGGAGTGCACAGCTGGGGCTGCGTCCGATTTCACGGACCGTTTGGCCCAAAGCCTCACACGTGATCGGTGGACGTGACTAGTGTCCAAATGCAGGGAACGAGTGCACCTGTCGGTGCAACTTCGCTTCGGTTTCCCAACAAAAAAGCTCACTATTCAACAACTCGTGACCAGATTGACGATGTTGTTGTGTTTTGTACTGTAGTCAGCGCTGGCGGCGGGCGTCAAATGGCGTCTGAGATATGTTTGTGTCTCTCTCTCTCTCTCTGAGGGATCGTAGCTTGTCTGGGCTTTGGTCTGATGCTATAAAACATAAATGAGCAGATGCGGTGATACAGCTTCTCGACATCCAGAGTCTTAGTCCAGCACTTGCTCAGCATCTTTGCGCTCAGCACTTGCGACCACCTCGTTTTGCGTCTGTCTCGTCATGTTGTCTATCTCGTCTTGTTCCGCTATTTATACGCCGTCGTCTCGCAGATCCTGCGCTCGCCATGTCCCTCTTGCAGAATATTTGCCGTTTCACCCGTTGGTCCCCACATGATCAACGGACACGCGCGTGTGTGTGTGTGTGGTCGTCATCGGTGCAAACTTTATTTTTTTCGTTGGGCGCGCACGATGAACCCAAAATAAACAAAAAAACCTCGCGCGCCCATTCTGGGCGCGACTCCACCAACCTATGCCCGACTCCACCAACCTATGCCCGACTCCACCAACCTATGCCCGACACCACCAACCTATGCCCGACTAAAACTCTAGCTGAACCTACGAATCGTCGACCCAACTCTAGCTTCAGCGCGATCTAGACTCGAGCAAGCGTCGCACTTACCCCCTCAACTCCGTCCTCGACCGTCGCTGATCTGCTCGAAGAGATGCCCCGCGACGCAGCTTCCCACCACGACAGCAGCTCGTCGTCCGGATTCTCCAGCGACGAAGACGTAGAAGACGTACAGGACTGCCCGTCTGCCGCGTCACACGCTCCGAACGTGCACGTAGAGGTACTAGACGAGGCCCATACAGACACCTCTCCGTTCCGTGCGTCCACACTTGACGCCCGTATCGCTTCTTTGGATGTCCGTCAATGCTGTCGTGACGCCGTCGAGTCGATCACTCGCATGTCTCTGCCTCTGGACGTGTCCTATGAGCAGTACGCGGCCGCACTTGACCACGTGACGCGCCATTGGCCGTCTCTCGACACGGACTCGACAACTCACGACGTGGTCGAAGACCGACTTGGATCGTATGCTGCGCTTCGTGCTGCAGTCTATCGGACGTTCCACCAGGCGTTTCCATTGACTGAGGACATGTACATCCAGTGGATCAGCGATTGCCGTGCAAAAGGAGACTCTGCTGAGCAGATCATGTCACTCTTTGACCTGGCTCAACAAGACTATTGGTCCGTGTCACTGACGTTGCAGTCTCTTCGGTCCATTCGGGATCATGGCGACAGTGTGGAGCTGAAAGATGCAATGACGAAAGCACAGACGACAGTGGGGATGCACTTTGCACGAGGACACGAGATCTGGGCTCTATGTCGGGATCTCACGGCGGAGATGTACGACGAACAGGACAAGCCACAGGGTGTCAATTTGCGTAAGGAGAGAGCAATTCGGGACCTGTTTTGTCGACAGATGCAGCTACCGCTGGAGCAGAACGACCTGGTCATGTCGGAGTTTCGCGCGTGGAACGCGTACAATACACTCGATGCAGAAGCCTCGGGATCGGCATTCCAAGCGGCGTCGGACCGACAGAGTAAGCTTTTTGGGCCAGTCATGAAGAAATTGCGTGGTTTCGAGGCGAAGGTACAAGTGGCGCGCGATGCCACGACACCCGAACTGGCGTGGCAGCAGTACCTGAATTTCGTCAAGCATCGTGTTCTGCCATTGATGTCGGGTGATGAGACTAAGTCAGAGGAAGCAAGACACATCGTTGTGTGTTTGTACGAGAGAGCAGTGGCTACAGTGTGCCTTAGCTCTACGCTCTGGGCTAGTTATCTCGATTACGTGGAGTCCGGCCAGCTTGAGGCTGATAAATGGAAGTTGAGGGGTTGTGAGAAACTGACAATCGCCCGAAGAGCCATACGAAACGTGCCATTTGACTCCTCCATGTGGACTGAACTGTTGATTGAGATGGAGCGAAAGGGTGCACCTGCAGAGGAGATTTCGCAGTTCGTGCGAAACGAGTTACTGGCTCGCTCAAGGTCACCTATGGATCAGTATCATTTGTTGAGCGTGCTACTCACATGGTGTGACGTCATGCGCCGTCATATTCACACTCTTGTCCACGAGCAGATCCCTGCGATCTCAATACAGCAGGTCGAGTTACAGATCGGTGGCGTGTTCTCAGAATGCGAACAGTTTACGAGTGCAAACTTCCCAGACTTTGTTGAGGGCAAATTGCGGCTGGCAGAATACCAAGCGAAGTGTTATTGGGCACTGATGCCACCCGTTGAAGTGCCAGCACATTCTCCTGCAACTGCAACGAAAGTGTCCAAACAAATTGAAAGTTGGAAACAGACGCTTGCCACACCTCTAAGAAACCGAGTCGCAACGTGGCTCGCCTACTTGGAATCGCTTCGACGCACGAATGCATTTTCAGCTGGTTGTATACGTGCAATGGTGTTTGAAAAGGCTGTGCAGTGTGTGACGGATGTCCCTCTTGCGCTAGCTGAGGCATGGCTTGTCTTTGAGCGTGAATATGGTGACTTCACAGGCTACCTACGTGCTCGGCGACATCACGCAAAGTGCCAGGCACTTGTGCAAGCTAGTTCGGTACAAGTTGCTACACCCCCGACGAGTGCTCCGCACGGACAAGGAGATAAAGCGATAAAAAGCGGCAAGAAGCGTAAAGCTCCTGTTGAAGCCGAGCAAAAGAAGAAAGCGCAAAAACGACCGCTTGCAAAGCGTGCTAAGCTGGACGCTAGCAGCGCTAGAAAAGACGACGCTGATGCCTTGGGTGTTGAGCAGATGACATCGGTGCAAAAAGCAGAGAAGAAGCAGGCACACGAAAAGTTGACAAACGCGCACACGCTTTTCTTGTGCAACGTGTCGAAGGATGCCAGTAAAGATGACATCGAGGAGATATTCAGGGATATTCCAACGTTGAAGGACGTTCGACTTGTCGCGAAGATGCGCGGCGATCGGGTGAAATCGCGTGGGATGGCATACGTGCAATTTACGGACGACGCTGGAATGGAGGCCGGACTCGAGAGGAACGGATTCTTGCTTCACGAACAGCCTTTGCGTGTGGAGCGCTCGAAGCCGCCTGCAGGTACTTCCTCCGGTGGTGACGGGAACACAAAGCCTGGAGGCAATGAAGGGTTTTGGAAGACCGATCCATTGACCTTTTACGCTGGCAACTTGAACCGTGAGGGGTCCAAGGACCAAGTGACCGAGGAGCAGCTGCAGGTCACGGTTCAGCAAGCAATGCAGGCCGTGGGTGAGCTTGTGGGGGTAAGCCGTGTATCCATACTGAAAGACCGTCATGGCAAGTTGAAGAACTACGGTCTCGTGGAAATGGCCGAGCCTTTGCATGTTGCGGTTTGCTTGGGCAATGTGGCCGCGCTCCAGGAAAAACTAGGCGACCAAGTGACGCTGAAGCCATCTCGCTTTTCGATTTCCCATATCCTCGAGCAGCAGCAAAAGCAGCATATGCAGAAACAGCAGCGAAAAATGGGTGCAAGCTCTGTCGAAAACCGCGGGGGAGCAGCGAGCAAAGGAGCAAAAGCGCTGCGTTCACGACCGTCTACACGCCTAGCTGTTTCGTCCAGTGCATCAACGACAAGCTTGATGCCACGCGCACTTCGTCGGAAGCTGGCTGTGCAACAGAACGAAGCAAGTAAAACGGAGGCTGATGTCAGTCATGGAAGTGTGACACCCAAGAGTAACGAAGACTTCCGCAAGATGCTGTTCCAGAACAAAGCATGATCGAAAGGTCAGTCATACAATGTGAAATGGTCATGTCGTTGCGATTTGCCTTGTGGTCTTTGTGCAGCAGTATAGCAGGTCAATACAATCGTCGGGTGAGTGGTCTAAGCGCACAACTCTTTCGCCAGCGTCGGTCCTAGTCATGTGGCCGCTCCGGAAGTGTCTGTAGTTTGCTTGGCAAAGCTAGAGGTGCAGTTGACTGTTATGCACGCGAACACACGACCTGACCCCACACCGCAAGGTTTGATCTTGCTGACTACAGGTTTGTAAGCCCGCGATAGAAAAACATCCAGGCAATGGGTGCTACATGACGAGAGAAGGAAGTTATCACATCAATGCACACACAACGAGACTGCTTCCGTTTGGCGATCGATCTGTCAACTACAAGTAAACCAGCGCACGCTGTTTGCATCGCAGCAACGTCACAAAGGGGTTGATACTGTAACTGGGGCAGGCAGTGGCATCCAGTGAACAAGATAGCACATGTCAGGACACTGCAGGCGTGAAAGCAGTCGATGGTTGCAATTGCAATAGACTTGTGGAGCCTTAGGGGAAGATATCGCGTCGACGGACATGTGCTCTTTGTCATTGGCAGTGATGACGTCCAGTTAGTAGTGCGTTGTCGTTCGGATGCTGTTCTGGCTCAGCGGCATTCGGGACGCATGGTGGCAAGCTAGAAAGGGAACTGAAGCCATTCTGTAGGTAGTCTGGGGCCGGATGAAGCCACTCTGTTCGACTAGTCGACCTACAGCACCAGCCCGAGTCAACCTATAAAAATAATAACACGCATCCAACCAATATAAAAGCAGTGAAACAACTGTCGAAACATGGACGCGGACGCCCCGGCGGCGGCGCAGATCTCGCAAGCAGACATCATCGAGCGCCAAGCAGAGTCCATTGCACGGCTTAAGCGACAGGTGAAGAAAGCCATCGAGTACAAGCAGCTGACCAAGTCCAAACTCAAGGAGGCAGCGGCTCGGCTGAAGGAGTACCGTGAACATGTTGAAGCGCTGCGTGAGGAGGGCGAAACGCTGAAAAAACTGCTAAAAGACGAAAAAAACAGTCACGAAAAAAGCAAAAGGTCGCACCAAAACGCGCTAAAACAGGCCGTAAAAGCGGTGAAACAGAAAACGCATGCAGCGACGCAGACACAAAGGCCGAAAAACGTGACGCAGGCGAGTCAGACGAGATTAAGTGGACAAGTGGAACAAACGCGCAAGAGAACGACAGTGGACAGTGAAGTTCAGACTGAAACGATGGTAGTGGATACATTGACGTCGAGGAAACGTGCTCGGGGACACGCAGACGCGGCAGTGCGCCACGAAGTGGACCAATTCATGCCAAGATTGTCGAGACATTTACAAGAAACGACGCTTGACGACGTTCCTGCAAGTGAGTCGATGCTCGTGCTGACAGCTATGGACGATACAACGGTTTTGCCGGAAACAAGTGCGGCGCTGGATGCCGAACTGGCGCTCAGTGACTCGGGAGACGATGGCGAAGAGACATTACAGATCGACGATGGACAGAAAAACGCAAGAGCACAAGACTTTGCAATGGATTCGTCAGTGCTGGGCAATATTGATATGCCGCTGGAGGTGATTACTCACGAAGACGACAAGCATGGGCATGCAGCAGCGCTGGAGAAAAAAGTAGCGGAAAGTTGCTGCTAGGCAACGTCAATCCGTCAATATTGCATGAAATTGACAAGGAGCTGGGTTCAAGCAGCGAAGACGACGAGGTGGAATGTGACAAAGCTCGAGCAGCAACAGGTGGTTTGGCAGGAAATGATGATAGCAAGCCAAAAGGAGGACAAATGTGTCTTGCTGCTGGAGAAAAGTCGCATATGTCTGTTGACATTGACGCTGTAATCGCCAGTGCCATTGATAAGGACTTGGTAACTAGCAGCGACGAAGAATGTAGCGCCAAAGAAGACGGCGTGTGCACAAGACTTGACTCAAATACTAAACAGGCCGAGCAAGTCGGTGAAACCGCAAACAAAATGAGTCACTGGAAAGATACACAAAAGTCGATTGACGAGGAATTAGACGATGAGTTTGCAGCTTTGGACGCCGAGTCGGATACAAATAGTCAGGCAAAGGCTGATGGCTCTTGTTCTGGCAGCTCGAGCAGCGACTCAAGCGATAGCAGTAGTAGTGACGAATCCGCTGGCGTTGGCGATGACTCTATGACTGGCAATGGAACCAACGCTGATGACAATACATATGTTGATCCAGTGGACGAGAAGGTGGAGCAAACGAAAGGTCAGCATATAGAAAATGATGGCGATTCAGGGGCACAGCCTTCTCTTCTGGTCGATAAAGATGTAGTGAGTTTGGCGGTAGTAGTTGAACCGAATTGCGTTAGCACTCTAGAAGACATGATTTCTCCAACATCCGACGTAAAGTTGCCGGCCCCCGATTCTGTGCAGCCGGACAGTGCTGTGGCACTTGTTGCAATCGAGGACAAGCTTAGCAGTGCTGAGACTTACCAACCAGGTTCTGTACGGAACAGCATTCAAAACTCTGTTCCAACGAGCGGGGCTATCATTGACGGGGCTGATAACTCTGCGGCCTCTGGCACTCAATTTTCGACAGGTCAAAACTTGTCAAAGCGACCGACGCCTGTGACACATAACGGCAGGGTAGATGGACCGCCAGAACTCGAGGCTCAATTTACCACACGTTCAAAGTCAGCCCCAGACGTCTCGGTCGGCTCCTTCGCCACGTCGACAGTTTATGGTGAACAGGCTGCTGAAGCATGTTGTACAGATGAACAAACCGTCGAGGCATCCATCGTAGTTGAGCAACACGCTCTTCGAGAACTTCGGAACGTGGATGAAGCAAAGTTGGAGAGCCATCAAGGCATTTCGCAAAAGAGAATGAAACTGAACGATGGTACAGGACAGGCAAAACGCGAATCAGGGGCACCAGTACAGTCAGCGCAAGTATTGACAGGCGACAAGGTGGTACAAACAGAGAGTGATGCTACGGGTGAGGCCAGGGACGACCAACGGATGAGAAAGTTTTCTCGATCAGCACTTCAGCGAGCCGTTCGGTTGGGTAAAGGCGAAAACCCTGACAAAGCGTATGCTCGACGAACTATTTCTTTTTTGGTAAAGCTGTGCTGCAGATTCACGAATACTTGTCCCGAACATGTGGTAAGTCGCTTTCCTGATTCTGCGATGCGTATTCCGACTGCTGTTATCCATCTAAAAGGCTTCACCTGTTACTGTCTTTGCAGATGAGCCTCTGTCAAGTTCTGGTCAGTGCGTATCGTAAGCTAAGAATCTCGCCAATGCTCGTGGTGCGTGGATCACTCAGTGTCTTTAGGACTCCGCGTTCTCGTCGTTTGATGCAGGAAAGTGAACTGGGTCTAAGTTGGCTTTGCAATCAAGTGCTGATACGGGTTATGTGCAACGATTCCGAAGATCTGGAGCATGATGGATCCATTGCTCCAGAGTCGTTGAGCTTGTCGCTTGTCGACGTGTGCTTGCTTCACCTTCGGGGTTTATTGCTCGAAGAGCGAACAAGTGTCGGTGATTTTCTCTCGGACGATAGCCCGCACGTACACGTTGCTACACGTTCGAACATCACCAGCCACGACATTGTGTTTCTGGCGCAGACATGTGCCCTTTATACGCACCTATGTCGTTCGAGTGGGCGGTTGTTTGCTTCGCGTGTGCTGCTCTTTGACCTTGTGCGTGAGAACCCAAACATAAGGGGATTGCACTTCGCGAGGGTGATGCTTGAGATCTATCCGGCAATGTTAGAGCGTGAGTTCGACCAACACTGCGTCGAGCGTCAGCAGATACTGAGGGAGACATTGCAGCAAGCTTTGGTATTCATATCGAGCGTTTCCGCTGCGAAACAGGAGCTTTTGCTGCACCAGGCAAGCACCACAATGCTTCACGCCATCGCTGGCGCTCTCCAGATGCCTGAGCTGGAGGAGGTCGATGGCAACGATCCTAGTCTACCGCGGGCTCACGTGGAAAAACTGTTCGGCAAGGTTTCTGTTCACTGTCGATCATCACAACCACGACTGCAAGACGATGTGGTGCAAAGCCCCGTAACAGCTGAACATTTTGCGCTTGCTAAGAGCATGGAACTATGCGCGGCGGTATACGGCCTCGACCTCGTCACGGAAGTCTGTAGCATCGATCGGTGCCAAGAACTTTACAACGAAACAAACGTCGAAAACAAGATCGGTATCATGTATATCGTAAGCCACATAGCAACGACGTTTTTCTCGAAGACGTGTGACACACAGACTTCGAAGACTGGAGCACAGCAGTACGTCGATGATGTCGTGGAGTGGATGTACCACGTTCTATCGACTGACACGACATCGTCACCGGAAGATCACCATAAGTTGATGCTCGGGTGTGCAACAGTTTGTGTTGACTTGGTGTTGGAGTTCCCATCACCAGCTGGCTTCGAAGCCCGACGACGAGCACTGTGTGCGGTGGTACATTGGTTCGACACGATACCGTCCGATAAGTTGATAGACTTGCCAGCTACATTCTTAAGGCGACTCCGCCTTGCCGTCGTCGCTGCTCGACCACACGCAATCGGCAAGTAGTGAGATAGGTGACGAGGATCGGTGTTGGTCAATCGGATGTGGCTGAATTGGCGATGCAGAAAGAGGTGCAGGTCACGACGATTGGACAAGCAGCGACATGAGTTCACGGAGTAAGCATTTGATGCTGGCTGAGGACCATTGCGGAGATGCAAGGCAATGTTGGCAGGGTGTTTGACGATGGGGATAAGTTACGCAATGATGTCACCATAAGTGGGGGCCTCAAGCAACTTGTTGCGTTTACGCGTCAATCCGATGTCCATGTGATTCCCGAACGAGCTCGCGCAATTGACGAGGCCGCAGCTTCCTGCTATTGATCGAAGTGTAGAGCTTGTTCTAGCATTTTGGAGTACGAGTGCGCTGCGGACGCATCTATTTCAGTTGTACCACTGCGACAGACGAAGGAAGTATCGTTTTCGTTTCACAGCTGAAGTAGAGGCCAGACAGGAACAAACGCCCGATGTATGGCACGTATAAAGGATCAATGCAGAATGAGCACGTAAACGATCGTCTCGTCAAGTGTCCGAGTTTGCTCGCTAGCCAATATGGATGCCATTGGAACACTCTGGTGCCAGAACGCAGCTATACTTCATGCAATTTACCTGAGCACCTCTTGCTTTGCAGGAGTATAATGAACCTCTTTTTGCCGTCAAGGCGAGCATTTATAGTCGCGAGATCGGTCTCCGACTTGGTAGGCCTTGATCACTCGTCCATCAAGATCGAGATGCAAGCAACTGTAAGATTACTTGTAGACAACACAGTTTCCTATGAGTTTAGGCCCGACGTCTGAAGGAATAAATGAGTGGATACTACAATCGCGTACATCGCAGGACTGATGACTTTCGTTGTAGCAGTGTGACTGCAAAATGTTGAGTCTTTCATGCATTGGTCAGGTGCTATAGCGCACGTCGTCCATGAGTCCGAAAGAAAGCGCAGATGGGTTTGCACACCAGCCATTAGGTATGGGATGTACTCGAAAATAAACTACCTAGCGAGCACATTCCTCTTGCGTGAATAAAGCATCAGTGTCTCACAGCGCAGGCTACATACAATACCATCGCACGCACCAAAATTGACGTCACCCTACATACTGCAGATGTCTGCTACACAGCATATTCGTTCGGTTGTGGTAGCTAGCGAATTTGCAAGTTATGCCATCGCACACACACACTTCGAATTTGCACACGTATATGCTGCGGGACGTTCACCAAATTGCCATTCATGTAATTAATCAGCAGACATCTTGCCGAGATGATGCTGTCATCAGCTTACGGCTCAGAAGGTCTGAGCCGTGAGATGTATCCAAACTTGCCATCTAGGTCGAATACCATCAAATCTTCATCGCGCTGACACCTCCTACCATGTTGCCGAATCCTGCTGCATATATTCGGCTGTTGTGTATTCGCCTCCTGCAAGACGTATCGCTGTCGTCGTCCGACAAAGGTGTTACACTTGACGAAGTGAGTCTGCTATCCTTTACAACTGGCGCCGGATACAGTTGGTTGACACCCTGCAGCTGACTAAGGCCGAATGTGACACGTTCTTGTACATTTGGTTTCCAAGGTGATGAGGTCGGTAGAAGAATGAGTTGGAGCCATTGACACTACTTAGTTTCCGGCAGATGTACACCCCGTGACGATGCTGATTGACACGTCAAGTATAACGGGATGACCGACGTCCGGTTACGCTCCGAAACATCCAAGTTTGACAACATACCACGTATGCAGTCACGTGGCTCGTTCTGGCAGCACCTTATAACTTAGCGGCCATCCGACGAGGTCCGCGGACGCACGATGCGACACTTTACTGCATGCTGTAGTTTAGTCGAGGACAATGGCCAGGAAAGCGCATGTAGCATAGTGTTGCGATATTCGTGTCGCTCGTATCCGCTTCTAGTCAATCAAATCAACATTCTGACCAAGAAAACGCTGTCAGATGAACCGACAAATTCTGCTGAATAAAACGTTTACGTGCTCTCGTCCAATGCGTCTCGGGTTCCTGTCAGTATCGTCTGTATCCTAAACAACAACATTTGTGCTCCTTACATCCTGCAACCATCAATGATTTAGTAGACACGTCTGCATCTCTCTCTTCTTACAGTGACGTTTGTGTTCCCAACAACAGAGTCTTTGTCCCCCCATCCATGGACGTGTCTGCATTTGCCACGCAAATGCTGCGTCATGTCGCTCAGTCTCTTGGTCAATAGCACTGTGCTCCTTTGTGTCGACTCCTTTGTCGACTAAAGCCGCAAAATCCATATCCGTTCGTTTTGCTAATGCCTGCGAGGTCGAATGAGAGTCTGCACAGCCCATTCCTCGAACATATCGAAAGGGGACACCAATGACTGCAAAGTGTACTCATTGATATGACCAGTTTCCATACAGAAATGTAATGAGGTCGTACGGCTTAGACGATCACGACCGTGCAACTAGTATGCTACCTGGTGCTGCTCAGAGACAACGAATAGCGACGAATAGTGTTCACGCGCGCAGCCCCATATTTGAGCCTGGTGGTGTGCGCCATTCCTTACGCGAACACTCGCTTCGGATCCTGCGTCAAATGCGAACTTCTCACCAAAAGTTGGGGATAGATGAGGCCCTTGTGTGAAGTCGAAGCGGCGAACGCTGAACAGGTAGTACAGGTGCTTAGTATGTCTATACTTCCCTGACACCCACTCCCTCTTGCAACTCGATGATAAATCGACTTGGTTAGAGCGCACGCAGCAAAGAGGTTGTCGTACGTTCAGCTGTAACTCAGTAGCTGCAACGACGTGTACAACATTTGACAGTCAGCCCCGGTTTCAGACGTCTCTCGATCCATCTGCACAATGTGTTGCGGCGAACTAAAGCTTTGACAACGCTGCGCCAGCGGCTTTGGCACTACTTGGAAAATCTCCAGCACAACATGCAACCGGGGAATCGAATACTTGCACACGTGTTCCAAGACAAACTTGGTATCCGTTCGCGACGAGTTTGCGGCAAGCCAATCGGCCACACGTTCGGTGACCAAGATTTGGCCTCCAGCTCCCAGACCTCCGATCTCGTTCGCGATGATTTCGGAAGCGCCAGTGTACGTCAACTTCCCCGTCACGACATGAACATCGCAAATGAGAGGTCCTTCCGATTCAGCAGCGTCGTGGACCCCCATGCGGACTCGAAGCCCCCTAAAAATTGTTTTCGTTCTCGCGCGTTCTTTTCGGGTGGCAGGTATCAAGCCGTGAAGCTCCTTGGGCCATTTCGCGTTGTGCAGATGCATTTGGGCCTTCAGACAATACTCGATGGCTTCTTTGATCGTGTGGAAAGCCAGCTGGAAAGAATCTCCTGCTGTAGCGATCTCGTACCCGCGGTATGCGGCAAGTAGGGAGCGTATGATGTCGTCATGAATCCGAGTTGCCTGCTGCATGATTCGACCATCTCCAATAGCCCAAAGCGCACTGGACGATTCAATGTCTGTCACCACAAAGACTGGGTTGATGTAGGGAATATCGTGGCCCCCAGGAGAAGTCAAGCATTCTTGACGCTGCCGGTATTCCACCTTAATTTCTTCTGGCAAGCAGCAACTCGACCAAGTTACCACGCAGGGCTGGCTGCACCCGGTCACGACAGAGAACACGAAACCGCGCAGGTAATAGAGCGTGAAGCTCACTCCAGCGTAACTGGACAGAATATTTATATCGCCTGGACACGCGTACAGAATCACGGACGACAGCTGAAACTGGAAAGCAAAGAGGGCGTACGCTAACCTTTCCAAGCACATTCCGTGTTAGTTGTTGACATTCGAGAAACAGAGAAACCAGACCATTGACCATTGGAAGCAAAAATATGATACGTACATGAACCACTTCAGGCGTCGGTAGAGAGGAGAAGTCACAAACTGTCCATGAACGCTTTCGTAACTCCGACCGTTGACTTTGAGCACAACCACCGTGATCATCATGTAAATGAACACACCCGTCTGTAGAACGTATACAGCTAGTAGCATCGAGTAGGCATATCGAGAGTAGCCCATGTAGCTAATGGCGAGCGCGACTTGAACCAAGAGGAACACTGCAATGCTAACGTGACCGATCATGGAATACAGACGTATCTTTGCACGCTCGTGTGTCTCTCCACGGTCCATTGAAAGCGCCACGAGCTTTGACATCTCGTACACCAAAGCAGTAACCCATATCAAGATACCAAATTGCGCCGCATCACCAATGATTATGACCGTCGTAATCCAGCCATTCTGCTTTTGGATCAGTTGTAGCACGGCGCTCGTTCCCATGCGATAAAGTTCGGTCCTCACCACCGCTTGCACTTGCATGTCTTCGTAGTCGCTGGTGTGGCTTTCTCCCTCAATCGCGATAGTGAGCCATACGAAATAGGCAAGTCGTGCACTCGAAGTGATGAACTGGCAGATGAAGAATACGGCGAGCAGCCATCGCACACTGGAAGCGCGAACTTCCCAGTCCTTGCAAAACTTGAAGACAATGAGGCCAGTGCTTACGGTTGAAAGGGCCAATGCAGTAATACAAAGGAACGCCCAAATCATGCGAGTCGACCCAAAAGAAAAGTGACGGCAAACATCAGACTTCTGAAATGCTCAACACCGAGTGGGACGAGGTCTGCCGCGTTGTCTGTGCTATTCTTCTGGTCCAAAGACGATTCGCTTCAACGTCACACTACGTAATCATGACTGGTTTACTGTCAATCGGTGAAGGAGCTGGTAAAAAGTGCTGAAATCCACACAGGCACTGTCAACAGCTACTGTAGTGCTCGAAAAAATCCGTTGGTGGTCGTTCCCGTCCCAGGTCCTGATATGGGCGACGAGGTCTGTAACTTTATTTTCTAGTATTAAACGGCTGCTGCGTGCTGTCAGGATTACTATTGCATCGATCAGTCGTTGCGCTACCGAGTGAACGCTTGAAGTCGGCGACAAGTCGCTTCAACAAGATCTCCTGGTGGTTCAGTACCCGCGGCGACAAGACGCTTCAACAAGACCTCTCGATGGTTCAGTACCCGCAAAATATATCCCGGGTTAAGCTAGGACGTATTCTAGGCGACCAAGCTGACTTGCAAGTCTAACTTGGCAGATGAGGGGTGTTGACCCACATTTGCATGATGCCTGCGATGAGTCACAGATGAGGCTTTGGGTCTAAAGACTCCACTCAACTCTGAAAGGCGATTGTCAGATGTCGGATAACATGTTCCATCAACCTGTCAGGTCAAAGGCTTGCGACACTTACGGGACACTTATGCGCTGGTCTTTATGCGCCAGGCTACACATGAATGGCGTGTCAGTCAAATGGCCAGGGCATTCTCAACGTCTGGGTCGACTCGTGAGCTGATAGGGAAGCAGTCACTACGATTGTAAAAGCTCACACTTCGAGACGATTTACCAGTGCTGATTGTCGTCGCGCCCATCCTGTCCGCGGAGTGTGAATTCCCGTTTATCAAGCTGCGGTTGGAAAGGACCAGATGTGGACAGATGTCAATCGGATCGTTCAGTTCTAACTACGGCAAACGGTCATCATGAATGGTTTGTCGTACAGCAGCTACCTGAGCTGTGTGCGATGCCAACAAGGACGAGAACGCAGCATGAAGTACCGATACCGAGCTTCGACTTCTTGCAATCAGGCAGTCGAGCTGGCACATCTGCATCGTACCGTATCCCGCTAATGATGTAGCCTCGCACACAAAGGAGCTTCGATACCGGCAAGCTTATGAAAAAGCACGAAAGCCACGTAGCTTCGTGACATCTGATACTTCATACCGAGAAGAGTATGGTGACTGAGTAGATAGAATTGCTTCTGCTGCGGCAAAGCCATCGTCAGTGAAGGAGATGCCGTCAGCCACAAGTGCCAACGATCATCCAAAAACACTGATTACCAGTCCAGGTACACGTCATTCATCTGTGAAAAGCAGGCAGTCAGGCGAATAGCTATTGCTGGAGCAAAGTTTCAGCGTGCTTTGCTGGTGGCATACATTTCTCGTGTACCTGCCTTCACATAGTTCGTCCATTCGTCACAAACGTTAAGCGACTAAGCCCACCTTGTCCCTCGTCGTTTTTCTTGCAGCTTCGCGAACCCTGCGACTTTTTCGTGCTGCTAGAGTGCCATCATGTACGAGCTGTACGATATGGTCCGCATGCATCGAGCAGCAAGGCCCTACCTATAGTGCGCAGTCCTCTTCGCACTACTCCTTTTGTGATTATAGCTCGAACGTTATGCTCGAAGCAGCGGCATGATAGCTTGGCTCGGATATCAACGTCACGTACAAATTCGAAGCCGGCGGTGATGACAGCGTTCGTGCAGCGTACTGACACTCTTGCAAATGCGACATTAGTGCAAGTTATCATCCCTTCCATTGAGTCGAGCCTGAGTGCCCGTCCGGTTGTATCTGATAAAGTACTGAAACGGATCATAGCACGCTGCTGCTATTCGACAGCACTGTTCGAGAATACAAACGAGGACACGGCCACGCACATGCTTTCTTGCCTCTCATACGTTTATCTACATGACAAGCTTTGTCCTATATAACCTGGTCTTATGAATAGCTCTCGTGAAGCGTGCATCCATTACCTTGAATCGTCTACAAAACTGTGGGTGGCAATGCCTGTACTAGTGACTCCGCTGTTGTGACGTTGAGGCAAGCATCGTACTCATGTCTGCCGTTCGAGAATGCTCTTGCATCACTGACCGCCACCAACTCGCCGTGATGTTTCGAACGCCTCCTCGATTGAGTGTACGACTTCCTGTCTGCAATTCCGTATCACAGCTATCATTGTACGTGTCTCGGATGCTGCATTTGCTGAAGGCCGGTTCGAGCGATTGGGAAGCATCTCCTGTGTAAGTTACAGAAGTTACAACGCAATTGGTACCCAGTCGTCGATTTCGGTCATCGCAAAATCTTACCCACTCGATTGTATCCCAAGCGATACTGCACAGCAACTTGACATGATCGATCCTGAGCTTGATGTCCAGCACACCGAAGCGTGTGAGTCCAAGATAAGGCTCACCGATCGCAGGATGCTGGCTCGAAGGACCTCTGCATGACTCTAGCGTAGCTTTTCATGATCTAGCTATACCGTGTAGGTCGTCGATCGTGCAGGAACTTCATGTCGACAATCGACTTCCCAGAATGTCCGACTAACGCGATCTGCAGCATTGCAGCTATGGACCGTATTTTTACTGTTTAGACGTCGAAGTCGCATTGTCTTCCACTTTGTCCACCGTACACTTTCGTTCGGACCGAAACGATGAAAGCTGGCCGAACATGGGTCGTGCTTTCCTGCAATGCTCCTGTTGTATCGTTCATTATTACCGTTCCCACGTGCATCATCTACTACGCTCGCCGTCCCATATCACGTGGTACAATACTGTCAATGATTGAGACCTTGTGTTCCGTATGTATTTCATGCCCAATCTATAGACGGCAGAGGAAATATGTCGAAGAACACTGTGGTGCGAAAGGCCAGCGATCGTCCATACCAACGATGAGTTGAGAGTGCGAGAACAGGACGAAGTGGGACCAGCCGTGTGCTCCCGTGACAGCGGATGCTGTCGCAAGGCTGAATACAAAAAGCTGTGCTATGGAGTACTACTGGGCGTGAGAGGATTCCATGCTCAGTACTCTATGGCACGGCATCAACGATGCTCTACTTCAGCTTCATGCGCCATGACATCATACCCGTCGCTGTACTATGTTGCTTCGAGACGATAAGCATGACGTCTGCCGCTGGATGCGATCATTCAATGCGTGTCTGTACAGACGCTGACTCGAACGATGCTGGATAGACACTTCTTTTCAGATGTTCGGTGTTGGTGGCTGCGTTTCGTAGCGATCATGGTAACTAGAGAGTTTGCTGTCGGTGTAGCGCTAGACACTTTTCACATAGACTCGATAGAGGTGTCTGTGGAAATTGTTGAGTGCCTCAGCACAATCTTCATCTTCAGTGTTGCCGTCCACCACAATGTATGGTGAATAAGTCATACCATGCACCCAACCAAGTACTACCACGTAGACCGACGATGGCGGCAAGGTGTAGACATCCCGCATCTTGAGTCGTAACTTGTGTAAAGGCCGTTGGTGCAGCGCTCCAGCAATGATGTCAACCCATGTTGTAGACGTATCGCATCCGTGACAGGTTCATCGTATAAAAAAAGGGCACCATTGATGCAGTGCTTACACACGGCACGACTATCGATCCCTCTTGTTGGCGCTACGAGGATCACGCGGCAAGCGTTTGTAAAATAAGGTGACCTGAGACAAACACGATGCTCGTTCTGCAGCGAGCTTTTCTAGGCCGCCTGCTGCCAACGTCCATGCTAGGATGGCGAAAATGAGCACAACGACGCCCCGGTACGTAATATTCAATTGCGTTGCTGTACACGAGAGGGTATGGACTAGTAACTCTTAGCAATGTGGAAAGACAAACTGTTGTGTTGTTGCGCCGCTGACACTTGTGATAACTTGATCACCTTTATCGTGAGTGTACCGATACTGCGTTCACATTCGTGCAGCTACTGCAGTGGGCGTTGACGCAGTATTTTACAGAATGACCGACGTCGACATGTGTTGCACAGCTAGTGTCCTACTTTTTGGCCTCGAGCAAAGTCTGCTATCCGTAAGCGGTACGACGACTTTGTCCGCTTCACTACCCTCACACTATGTGAGCGCCACACAGCCTGCGAGCGTTTCCTACGCGTACCAGCAGTTCATGCCAACGACATCTGACGGTCAATGCTCGGCAACGAATCGCGCAAGCTCGTAATGAATGCCTGAGCCGTGTGTTGACTCAGTTTGCAACGCCCACATTCAATTGTCGTTCAATGTGCATAAACGTTCGTCAATACGCTTCTTGTGCACGCCGTTTGTGCCATACGCTTGGGCAACGTCAGCAAGGCCAGCGTGGTCCCTCACGACCATTGTTCATACTGTATCGATGAACATGAGCACACCTCCGACAAACGTCCGCAAGGAACAAACACGTCGGATCGAATCCGTCGAAATAGATTACTTCGGCAACCCCCGGTCCGCAGCTTCTATTGTTGTTCGTCTTCTGTGCGGCGGCATTTCTATCCCACGATTCCATTTCTTTCCAGTCGCGTCAGACGTCGTCTCGCCCCCGCTTTAGTGACCCCCTTGCCACCTCGGCTTCCAGCATGCTCGGCTTCCAGTACGTCGTCGCCAAGTCGCGCGAGCTCTCGTCGGCGCTCGACCGCGAGCTCTCCGCCGTCAGCAGCCGCGCCGTTCCCTTCCGCAGCGTCCCCAGCAGCGCCTCTGTCGAAACAGCGGCGTCGAACGGCGCAGGGGCGGCGACAGACGCTCCCGCAGCGTCCCCTGTGCTCGACCGTCAAGAAGGCCACGCGTTTCTGGCGGTGCACCACCAGCGACACGCACAGGCCGTGCGGAACCACCAGCAGCTGCTAAAACAGTACGTTGTGTACCCATGGGCTGGAGGGTGACCCTGTACGCTGCAGTGGGTGTCGAGATACTGACGTTATTCCCCGTGGGTGCGGGTTGGGGGGGTGACTTGTATTCCACGATAGGGGGCACGCACTCGACGCGGCCTTGAGCGCTGCTCGCCTGAAGCTCGAGACTGAAGCACAGAGTGAACAGTACGTGACGCAGCACTTTCATCTCGTGTCGAACGTGCGGCAGCAGCTCGCGCAAGTCCGGACGCTGGTGCTCCACGTGGTCGAAGAGGCCGACCACGTCGAGGGTTTGCTCCTGGAGCGCTGTGAAGAGCGCGCAGCGCTGCAGAACGCAGAGGTTGCAGCGACGCAGCAGCAGGAGCTCGAGCGCTTTGAGCTGAGCATTGCCGAAGAGTCCGAAGGTCGTCGACGGGAGTTGCGCGAGAAGAGGCGCGAGAAGTTGGCGAGTGCGTTTGCGAGCGATCTCAGGAGGTATCAGACGCTCGGGGATCGCCTCGAAGATGCCGGCGGTACGAAAGGAAGGATGGTGGTGACAGAGGAGGACGGGGGAGTGACGCTGGACGAAGTGGATTTGGTCGTTGCGGCCTATGCGGCGCAGTTGGACGCGTTCTACGACTCGGGATCGGAACGAGACGAGGAAGAAGGTGTGGACGCGAAGCCTCGGACATCTCTGGCGTCGGAAGTGCGGGGAAAAGAAGGAGCAACGAGTGACGAGACGACCGCCGTGGTCCAAGAGGTGGCTGCGGCAGGAACAGGTGATGCATCGATGGTGCGTCAGTAGACTAAGCAAGTGATGAGACGGCGAAGGCGGCAGAAGCCATTGAACAGAGGACAGGTCTGAAGACGGAGGAGATGGTACAGCGATAAATGCAGGAGCAGCCGAGCGCGGGTTGACGTGACACGGACGAGCACGACGTGTCAAGTGCGCTGGCCAGCCGATATTTATGAACAAACAACACAACGTGGCGCGTGAAATGAGGACGCCCATGCCCAATAAATGGAGGAAGAGACTCGAGCAAGCAGCGCTGGTGTCCGTCTTCGGTGGAAAGTGAGGACGGATGTCCCCAACGAGCGCTCTGCCGTACGCGTCACTTGCCTCTCACTCGTTTCGAGACGGTCAGGAGTCGCAACAGCAACGACAAGAATCGTGCAGCAGTAGCCATTACTCGGAGTCAACTGGAGCACACACAGGAAGAGGGTATTGCGACGGAGAGTACCAGTCCATTGATACAGTTACCTGCACAAGCAGCAGAGACATCTCGAGAGCGCTGCAACCAAAAGCATGACAGACACATCGTAGCTGTCGTTCCAACTGAGACCCGTCGTGTCCCTTTGAGCTTCCCAGTCAATATGTTTGTGGCCTCCAGATCCCATACCAACACCTTCGCCAGGTTTCACGTACCTCTACACATATCGGATACCGACCGCGCAGGGCAAACGTCCACAGGTCAGTGCACCACAAACCTCTAGCAACGTCACTTTCTAACTGCACCATGAGCTGCCGTGTGTCCGACTTGTTCGACGCTATCGGCCGTCTTGACGAGAGGTTCACTAGTGACTGACCAACAACGTGCAGCTTGCAGAGTAAGGCCGCGTAGGGCAGGTCCCAGCTTTCCCGTAATCAGTCGGCCCCCCGCACACCCACGTGTAGCCTCGAGCCTCTACAGTCATCGACAATGCCGCTGTTGCACACGCGCATTACCGCCACACAGCTGGCAGCGAACGCTTCTCGTCCACATGACGTCCCCATCAAGTGGCGCCGAGACCCAGTCCACGCACCAGATGGAGCACATCCCTTGACCTGTTTACCTGATCGGCGCTCGCAAACGTCGTCGCTGCTCCTGCTGCTGCTGCACTCGAGAGCATCAGCCGACTCAAAGAGCTCCCCACCTTTCCCAAAAGCCCCATACCTTTTCGAAAAGCTCCATACCTTTCTCGAAAGCGAGCGGTCTACATGCCCGTGCCCGGTCTTCGCCGCCCCTGTCGCCCATTGCATTGCACTCCCGCCGTCTTTGCGCATGGCGGACCTGACGTACACTGTCTTGGGCCTCGCGTCGCTCGTGCTGTCCAACCTCTCGACCGCGCTCGTGACGGTCAAACTGTACCGCGCGTGGGACTACCGCGTCTCGTGCGTCCGCTGGCTGTTCCTCACGTTCTTCGCGTACCTGTGGCTCTCCACTGTCGCGCGTGGCGGCGTCTACGTCTGGACGCTTGTCCCCCTGCTGTCGCGTCCCGACGTGGCGGCCGCCCCGCTTCCGTCCTCGGCGCTCGACGCCACGTCGGACATGCGCGCGCCCCGACCGGCGCTGCCCACGCTCGTCCTGAGCCTCTGCGACGTGCTGCACTTTGCCGCGGCGCTCTGGGCGCTGCCGCTCACCTACGAGCTGTCCAAGATCGCGGCCAAGTCCATGGACCGCGGCACGAGCAAAGAACAGGCCAAGATCCGCATGTACCTCGTCGTCGGCCACGCGGCGATCGCAGCCTTTGCGGCTGCCGAAGCCGTCCTGAGCGTCCTCGGCGGCGGCTACTCGCGCCGCACGTACCGCCTCGCGCTCGGCGTGTACGCGCTACAGCTCGCGACGCTCGTGTACATGGGCGTCGCGCTCTTCGCGCTCAAGCGCCGCGGCCGCGACGTCGAGTCCATCAACGGCCGCTTCGAGGCGTCGCCCGTGTACCAGCGGCTCCAGCGCATGCTCTGCGCCTACGCGCTCTGCGCGCTGCAGTACGAGTGCGCGTCGCTCGTCATGGCCGTCACGACAGACGCGCGTCGGTCCGCCTGGACACTGCACTACCTCGAGCTGAGCCACGTGCTGTACAACGCCACGGGCTGCGCGCTCGCGCTCGCCACGGGCTGCAGTCTGCCGTGCACGCTGCGCGTCTGCGGCTGCTGCTGCCCCGACGAGCTGCTCGTGCAGCTCGTGGTCGAGGCCAACCGGCCGCACGTGCGCGGCGCGCACAAGCGCAGCAAAGTCGTGGCCGCGCCCGTGTGTAACCCCGTGTTTGTCGTCACGGACATTGAGTCGTCCAGCGCCTTGTGGGCCATTGGCGACGCCAAAGTCATGCAGCGCGCGATCCAAGTGCACGACGACACGCTGCGGGCGCTGCTGGCGCTGTACCGCGGCTACGAGATCACGACGGCCGGCGACTCGTTCCAGTTGGCGTTCCACACGATCCGCGAGGCCGTGGCCTACTGCCTCGACGTGCAGCTCCAGTTGCTCGCTGCGCCGTGGCCCAAGGACCTCCACGGCCTCGTGGCCGCGACCAAGAAACTCCGCGTCGGCCACCGCGTCGTCTTCCGCGGACTGCGCGTGCGCATGGGCGTCCACGACGCCATGGGGTCGGACGGCCACCTCCACCAGAGTCCGCACGCTGTGACCGGGAAGACGGTCTACACGGGCGCAGCCGAAGTGCTCGCGGCCGAAGTGAGCGACGTGGGCGCCGGCGGGCAGATCGTCATCACGCGGCGCATTGCCGAGTGGCTCATGGCCAACAGAGACGCACTGCCGCGCGACTTTCGCGTCACGTACTTGTGCGACTATTTGGTGCCGCACGTCAACATGCACGTGGCCGTGTACGAAGTGCTGCCGGACGCCCTGTCGCAGCGCCAGCGGATCTTTGCCAAGGACCAGCACAAGCGCATCCCGCAGGGGGCGACCGACCGGTCCACGTCGGGCTCGAGCGGCCGCCAAAGCAGCTTAGGAACGCCCATCGGGTCGCCCACGTCGTGGTTCTTCCCGCCCGACACGCCCGAACGAGGACCGCGTGCGGTCCGACAGTAGAGAGTCATAGATAGTCGACGAGGGACGCACGGGAAGGGCCCACGTCGAAGACGCGTAGACGCAGTAGAGCACTAACTTTATCGACGCGTAGACGGTCGCAGCGTCTGCATTTAATAATACTTCATCGTTCGGTCTCTGGTAGATCGATAGACCGACAGACAACACTAAGGGTCTTCTCGTGCATCGCACGCGGCACTTTGCTCGCCACTTCCTTCTTCATTGAGGGCTCAGCAGTAGACGCCCGGCTTCCGCTTGAGCTCGTCGCGCAGGCCGAGCGAGAAACAGCCGTGTTCGACCAGCTGGTGCGGCGGCACAAACGAAGCCGAGAGGTGCGTGACAGCGTCCGTCGCGTCCGCACGTCCGTCGTCGTCTTCGTTCACGCTGCGTCGTGGCCGACAGCGGCCCACGTTGGCCCGCGGCCGTCCCTTGCTCGCTCGTCGCTGTGTCCTACATGCATTGCCACCAGCAGCAGTAGCGCCGCTGTCAAACTCCATCTTAAATATATCCTCTCCCTCGTCTTCCGAGTGGGTCCATACGTCCACGTCTTCGTCCTCCGTGTCGTCGCACTCTTCGGCAATGCCGTGCGGCCGTCTCGACCGACGACAGCTGCGCACTTGGCGCTCGTCCCGCTCGAGCGGCCACCCGCTCTGTCCGAGCATTGCAAGCGGTTCTTCCCACGACAGCAGCTGCACCGCAGACGTCTGCGAGTCGGCTGCCGGGTCCGCATAGTCCGTCCGACTGCAACGCCGTTGCTGCCCCTGCAAACACTTTCCCGCTGCTCGGTCCACTTCGTTCGCTGCCGGCGACGCAACGACCGGCAAAGCCGTCACCAACGCCCGTGTCGGGATCTTGATCGGCGCCGACTGTCCCGACGGCCCCATTGCGCCATAGTCACTTCGGTTGGCCACTCTCCGCGCGCGGAACAAGTGCGACCGCAGCCCAAACACGTACTTGGACGTCCTGTCGTCCCCGGGCGAGCCGCCGCGCCGGCTCTTCGACGACGACCGCGAGCGGTTCGGTCGACTCGACGTCGAGACCGACCGGCCGCGCGTGCTGCTCGCGTGGGTACTGTTGCTATTGCTACTGCTATTGTCGTCGGGTCCAGTACCAGTCCACCGTCGACTCGTTGCCACCACAAGCTCCGAGCGTCCAGAACCAGTCAATTGGGTGGCTGTCGTGCGTCGACACGTCTCGCGCCGCACGACCGGCGGCGTCGGCGCACCGGACGTCGTCACGTCGGGCGTCACGATGTTGAGCGCCCGCAGGTAATTCGCGCGCCAGTTCTTGTTCTTGTTGGCACAGAGCGCCAGGCGGTGGCTATTGCTGCTATTGCTATTGCTGGTCATTGGCGTCGAAGGAGGCGCAAGTGCCGCGACAGAAGGCGGTCGCTGGCAGGTCATCGTCATGCGGAGGTACTCTCCCAACAAACCCCACGCAACTACTGCACTCGCTCTCGCTCTCTTGTGCACGACGTCGCGCTCTTTGCAGCCCAATCCAGTGCGCGTCGGCCTTGTCACTGATCCTCGAGGTCCGCGTGTCTCGTCTACCCGACAACGTGTCGCGTGCTCTGCGTTCGAAGAAACGACTGGTCACTAACGTCTCGCGAGTCTTTTTCGCAAGAGGCGACGAGAGACTGTTGCAGCAGCAGCGCCACTAGCAGTAGCAGTAGTGTCGGTCTACACTCGATCCAGTGCACTGTGATGCAATGTCGAGACGCGAGACGGCGTGGGAAAGCGAGTGCGCGTTCGTTCGTTCGTTCGTTCAGACCGACCAACCGACAACTGCCGGACCGACGACGGGTGGAATCGGAGAAAAGATCAGGCGATGGACCAAACAGAACGCGTCGGTTGGGACCTGTGGGCCATCAATCGAATCCCAAAGTGCGAGACGCCGACTCGAAAGGCCTACGCCTGCCAAGAAAAACAAGCGGCTCGTGGGAAAAAAAAGGGGTCCGCCGTACGACTGTCGTCGTGGGCTATTGCAAATGTATTGCGCTTTTTCTAACGGTCCTGAGAACTCGCCGCTCGACTTCAAACACAGCAGCCGGTCGGGCGGTTGGTCGGGCGGGCGGGCGGTGGGTCGGGCCGTCACTGAGACAAACGAGACCGATCGCTGTCGTAGCGACATGTGAGACGTCGCGCATGGGATTCGCTCTGTTCTTTAGTCGCAGTAGTAGTGGTGGGCTTCGTAGTGGTTGGGTTATTAGTGGTGGGATGACTATTAGTGGTGGTCGGCGAACGTGCGTAGGTGGGTCTCTTGTTACGGCCACTTGCCATCGAGTCGTCCATGTGCTCACGACGGCCAGGACGGCCACTGCCTCCAATGTTCTCGAACACTCACTTTCCAGGCCATCTGCCATCAAATGTTGCTCTGTCTTGGAGGAAGCAGTAGTGGTAAAAAGGAGGCGCCAGTGGCGACATATCGTCCGAGAATTCGCGAACGAGCACAAGCAAACAGATGACCGGCTGCGGCACACCGCCGTCGAGATGGTGAGCGAAACGAAGTGCGGCTCTGTCCTATCGTTGCGTCTGGCCATGGGTCTTGATGACGTGTCAGGTTTACGGCATCGACCGCTCCGGCCAGTCACGCTGTGCCTCATTTGCCTTTTGCCGATAGAGCTTCGTGGCCTTTTCGTAGAGTGGAAGAACAGAGAACTAACTCTACGGGTCGTAGCGAACATGTCTGGCAAAAAGTCAGCAGTCTGCGTTGTTTCCTCAGGTAGAGAGAGGGTCCAGTCGACTACGGTATCCGCCCGTATGCAGCGGCGATGCGTGTTGCATTGAGGCACTGGTTCACTACTGGCTTCTAACGGATTGATGGCGCTGGTCGGTGACGTTCCAATATCATTTTACAGTATGACAAGACACAGCTTAGTCCTCGCACGGTCGGCCACAGCTGCCCGACCACCACGAGAACATCAGGACATCGATGTAGCCGAGAAGCGAGACACGTGCAAAGCAAAGACCAGCAGTGTAGTGTGTAGTCTACGAGACCGTCGCATAATGCGCGAGACCTACTGACCTACTGACCTACTGACCGACTGCACGGAAGTCGCACTACCGTACCGTCGTGTGGCCTCATTTGCAGCAAACTGACGTGCGAGAGCGGTAGACGTGCCCCACTGCTGCACGTCTGTTTAGCTGCTCGAGCTGCATGCACAGAGCTGCTGCATGTGGCACGCCAGTCAGTCCCTTGTCCTGCGAGACGGTCCACTACACGTGCTGCCGTTTACAACATGCACCAGCACGTGCAGTGGCTATAGAGATCACATGTCTCCACCCACTTCGCAACACGGTGTCCTACATTCAACAATCGCAGTAGTCGGCGACACTGCTTCGCGACAGGACTGTGGACGCTCGAGCGACAATCGGCTCGCGCAAGTGCTCTTTGCACCACGCGAAAGAAGCGTTCGGACCCACGTGACAATCAACTCGGCCGACTCACAGTAGTTGGGAGACCGCACGTGTGTGTACACGTCACTGTCTCTCGAGGAAGTTTCGACCCGGTTCGGACAAAACCTGCTGCTCCACCTCGAAAGTCAAGTCGATGTCAAGCGACTGAGCAGAATGAGGGGACAGAGCTCAACGACACGTCGTCGCAGAGGCGGCGGTCTATAAGCCACTAAGGTGAACCTAAAGAGACGCGACGGAAGACGCGATGGAAGCAGCATACAGCACGACGAGCCGTTCGTGCGCAGACATTAGTAGCACCCGCAGCAGTCTCTGGCTCTCTTGACAACCAACGAACGACATAGTTCGCTCCCCACTTGACAACCCATATGTCGGCCATCCGTCGCGTAGGTCGAGGCGCTGCCCGGTCCTCTTTTGTGGAAAACCCCCCACACGAGCCCCCACGTCCACTGCATACGCATCTGCACAAGTGCGTTCGTGTGTCTCTGTCCTCTGTGTCTCGTGGCCGATGAAGTGTGTGTGCGTGTGTGTACAACGCCACGACGTGTCGCGTGTCGACGTTGCAAGTGTCGCGGCTCGGCATTCTCCCGCTCTTTTCCGCCGCGGATGTCGCCCACTCGCGCGGCGCAATCACATGCAAACGCGACACGACAGTCCGCACGAAGAGAGTCCCCACCCCACCCGTTGTCACTCACTCACGCAGTCACTCGCTCACGCAGTCACTCTGTCAATCGGTCGAGCACTCAGTCAGTTAGTCGGTCGCCGTCACTCGGAATGGACCGTTGAGTTGACGACGGACGGACGGACGGACTACGGACGACAGACAGACCGACAGACCGACAGACGGACTGAACCGATTTGCCGGCCGACAGCGCATAGAAAAAGCCACACAACCAGCGGCTCACCCGCTCCGTCGCCGGCACCACAATCGCCACCAGCTCTTCTTCCTCCACCGCTCGCGCCGCTTCCTCTTCTCTCTCTCTCTCTCTCTCTCTCTCTCTCTCTCTCTCTCTCTCTCTCTCTCTCTCTCCTTCCAGCGCCGCCAGCGCCGCCGACGGGGCCCCACGCCCACTATGCTGTGGACAGCCCTCGCCGTCGTGAGTATGGCGCTCTCGAGCCTCGCCACGGGCCTCACGATGGTCCGTCTGCGCCGCAGTTGGGACCTGCACGTGTCGAGCGTCCGGTGGCTCTTTTTCTACCTCTTTGCGTCGCTGTGGCTCTGGAGCACCACGCGCGTGCTGTACCTGCTATGGGTGAGCGTCGACCCCATTGAGACGTCCATGTCGGACCACGCGTCGTCGGCGTCGACGGCCGACGAGGTCGTGTACGACCGCTACAGCCGCATGGGCATTTACACGGTCCTGCAGCTCGAAGAGACGCGCGACGCGCTCGCGACGGCGCTGCTGTGCGCGGGCGACGCGGCGCTCTTTGCCGTTGCGCTCTGGATGTTCCCGCTCACGTTTGAGCTCTCGAACATTGCGGCCAAGTCGATGGACCGCGGCGTCGAGAAGGAGAAGAAGCAGATCACGCGCTACGCGTGGACCGTGCACGGCCTCGTGCTCGTGTTTGCAGCTGTCGAAGCGGCGCTCGCGACGGCCTACGGCGGCTACACGCGGTCGACGCAGTGGTGCCTCGTGAGCGTCTACTTGGTGCAGTTTGTCAGCTTTGTCTACATGGGGTGGCTCATCCTGCGGCTCAAGCTCGGCGGCCGCAAGTACGAGAACGTCCAGGGCCAGTTCGTCACGTCGCCCGTCTACCAGCGCCTCAAGCGCATCATGATCGTCTACGCGCTCTTTTCGCTGCAGTTTCAGATCGCGTCCGTCGTCATGTACGCGCTCACGGACTCGGCCGAGCAGCTGCTCGACTTGATCAGCGTCAGTCTCTTGCTCTACCACCTCTCGGGCATGGCGCTCGCGGTCACGACCATGTGCAGTCAGGCCTGCGTGCTCAACCTCTTTCGCCCGTGCTTGCCGGACCACATTGAAGCGCAGGTGCAGACGCGGTTCATGCAGGGCGGCGACCTCTTGTCCCCACGGGACACGCAGGTGCTCATTGAGTCGGCCGAGCCGCCGTTGGTGAACCCCGTGTTTGTGTTTACGGACATTGAGTCGTCCAGTGCACTGTGGGCCATTGGCGACGGCCTCGTGATGCAACGCGCGACGGAGATCCACGACAATATCCTGCGGGCGTCGCTCATGAAGTACAGGGGCTACGAGATCACGACGGCCGGCGACGCCTTCCAACTCGCGTTCCACACGGTGCGCGAAGCGGTCGAGTACTGCCTCGACGTGCAGCTCCAGTTGCTCGTGGCGAATTGGCCCAAGGAGCTGCACGGATTACTGCCCGTGACGAGGAGACAGCGGCTCGGGCATCGCCTGATCTTTGGTGGGCTGCGCGTGCGCATGGGCATCCACGACGCCGTGGACGCCGACGGCGCTCTGATCCTCGACGTGCACGCCGTGACGGGCAAGATGATCTACACGGGCGCGTCGGAAGTCATTGCGAACGAGATTGGCGACTTGGGCGACGGCGGCCAAATCCTCGTCACGAAGCGCGTGGCCGACTGGCTCGTCATGTACGAAGACCTGGTGGCCATTGCCTTTCTCGTTGACCGCGTCGGCGAGTACTCGATCCCGCAGATCAAGGCCAAGCTCGAGGTCTACCAGGTCCTACCAGAAGTGCTGAGCGGGCGCAAGAAGATGTTTTCCTCGACGCTCAAGAAGCGCCGCGCAACCACAACGTCGTCCGTCTACTCGATCGCATCGAGCAATCGGTCGCGCCTGTCGAGCAATGGCGGTCCGATCCCAATGCCCGAGCAGCTCCGTCGAATGTCAAGACCGCAGGCGCTGGTCCCGCCGCCTGATCTGGTCGTGCCGCCGGTGCAAGGCGGCTTGAGTCGCTTTGGTCGAGTCCAGCGGTCGTTTCTGCGGCTCGAGCACGGCTCGTTTTACACGCGAGCGACCAGCATGTAGTAGTCGCCCTAACTTATTTACTATCTACGAGCTCACCGTAAAGTCGCTGGTTAGGTCGGTCGATCCCGGTCGACTAAAGAGCAGAAGAATCGCACAAAGCGTCACGTCGCACAAAGCGTAGCGACAATTTTGGAAAACTTGTGAGTGTGTGTGTGTGTCCTGCAACATGTCATGGTACACTGTTTGAGAAGGTGGTGGGTGTTGTTGGCGTAGCTGTTCTCGGAAGTACGTCGTTGTCCTGAGTATGATGAGATGTTGAGTACACGGACTCGGTAGCGACCAGTGCAAACGCTGGTCAATTGACTATCTTTCAGTGACGTATTTGTATGTGTGTAGGCTCTAGGAACTCATCTCAAGCAGTTGAGGCGACATGAATGAACGTGTCGGATCATGTCCAACTTGACGGTATTGCAGCTAAAGAGAATCAATCGAGAAGAATGTACGTAGGAAGGCACACACGAGGTCAATGCCTATGTCCAGTGGCGCTATGTCCATTGCCAATGGCTGCCAGTGTCGTGATACAGTCTCTGTCGGTAGGACTTCGAGACTGATGGAGAGAGACAAAAAGTTTGGGGACAAGGCGTCACGTCGTCAGAACAAGCGGACGTTTGGCACAGCTGATGGATATGGGCTGTCTGTATCGGAGGTCATAGTGCGCTATCATGACGTCTGCTTCATTGACCACGAATGAACCAAAGCTCGACAACGTATGCGATCGAGAGAGTTTGGATTGCCGCGAGAGACTCGTGTCGTTATCTGCCGCTTTGCGTTGTGGCTATCAATCGCTGCGGGTGGGCACTGCAGCCACGAGATCAGAGCGGCAGACGACGCGTTGCAGCTGTGCTTATGCGTTGGCACGGAGACTGTCGAGCACAAGCAAAGAGTCCTACTGCAATTGATCGACGCTGCTTTGCCAGAAATACTGCACTCGTGACCGTTCGTTACACGAGAGGTAGACAGACTGAACAGGCACTTCAGTTCCCTATCTATCGCTCTGTGTGTCGTCGCACGTGGAAGCGACGACGCGCTGGTCAACTCAACTCGACGGTGGACATCTTTTTCCCACGTCTGCGCATTTGTTTCTCGAGACTGTGTCTCCTGCCAGAAGAAAAAAGTTTCACGACGACACGTGCGACAACTCACTTAGCGAGCGCACTACGCACGTCGTTTCGACCACTGACACTCACTCACACGCCCCCACACACGTACATACGGTCTTTACCGTTCGCGCCACTGGCGTAACAACACAACGATAGAAACGTCGACGCTAAATGTCGTTGTCGGAATGCTATGCGCTGAACAAAAGTCCTCAGCAGCTCAGCCAGCACAGTATCAGAACAAAAAGAGCTTTCACGACTGTGAATTGCATCACGTTACTTAACAGACACACACTGGTACGTCTCCACAGTTTGTCGATAGTCTATGCGTACAACGGACAGCACAGCAAATGTACTTGCGGTTGGTTGCTTTCGTATTCGTATTGTGAGGAACAATGTGTGCACGTAAAGTCGGCTTTGAACATATCGGCCGACCGTCTGAGGCATGTGGAAAAGCTTCGATTGTTGTGGTCGTACAGTTTCAACTGTCCGAAGCGATATTGATGTAGCGCATATCGTTTCTAACCTGTTCCAAAATGTCAAATTTAATGGCACCACTTTGCAGGTAGCAACGTCTCGTCGCAACTGCGCTCTATCAAGCAGCATATACGTATACTTTGACGTGTAACAGCTTCCACAATGTCGACGGTAGTCAGTCGCATTGCGTCCGTTCACGTGTGTAAATGTGGGCAAAGTGTAGCCACAACATCTCCAGTCCGTCGCGTCGCAGACGGTCGTCAAACGTGTCGTGATTGTTGCGTCCCGCGACACGCCACGACCCCACGACGACCGACCGACCGGCCGATCAATCGGCCAGAAAGTGTCGGTCGGTTCCGAGCCACACGCTCTCACTCGCAATGGCTGAGTTCGCAGCCTTCAACCGACCGCAGCCACTCGCAAGAAGCGCACAGCACAGCACAGCAACGTGCAGTCAAAAGGCAAAATTCGTTCCTCTGCGTTCGCTCTCGCGCCGTCGCTCTCTTCATGTCGGACGACGCCGTCTCCAGCCCCCACTCTCTATTTATACTCCGCGCTTCGACCCCCTGTACCTCTTGCCGTTGCAGCAGTCGCGCAGCCATTAGTTGAATTGAGGCCGCGCTCTTCTCTCTCTCCTCTCTCTCATGTGGACGATTGTTGCCATCGTCACCATGGGCTGCTCTTGCCTGGCAACGGGCACGACGACCTTAAGCCTGCGGCGGTCCTGGGACGTGCACGTCTCGAGCGTCCGGTGGCTCTTTTCCGTCTTCTTCGCCTGCTACTTTGCCTTTACGCTCAGCCGCGTGGTCTATATGATCGTCGGCGTCGCACGGCCGTGGGAGTCCACGACGACCGACGTGTCGATGCACCTGCTCACGACGCGATACAGTACGCTCGGCGTCTTTTCTGTCCTGCACTTCAAAGTCTCACATAACGCCGTCGTCACGTCACTGCTCGTTATGGGCGACTCGGCGCTCTTTGCCGTGACGCTGTGGACGTTCCCGCTCGTGTACGAGCTCGAGCTCATTGCTGCGCGGTCGATGGATCGCGGCGCGTCGAAAGAAGCCGAGCAGATCCAGTGGTACCAGTGGCGCGTCTGGTTCCTCGTCGCAGCGTTCGTAGCGGTCGAAACAGTGCTCGCAGCCGTGCGAGGCGGCTACACCACGTTCACGCAGCGCTGCTTGCTCGCCGTGTACTGTACGCAGTTTGTGAGCTTCTTGTACATGCTGCTGTGCATCGCGCGGCTCAATTGGCGCGGCCGCAAGTACGAGAACGTCCAGGGCCAATTTGTCACGTCGCCCATCTACCAGCGCCTCATGCGGATCATGTACGGACGGCACTGCTCGTGCACCAACTCGTTGCGAATCGGACGACCTCTAACGTTCGCTCTCTCTCTCTCTCTCTCTCTCTCTCTCTCTCTCTCTCTCTCTCTCTCTCTCTCTCTCTCTCTGTGTTGCGGACGTGTGCAGGGCCATCTACGCCATCTTTACGCTGCAGTTCCAAGCAGCTTCGGCCGTGCTGTACGCCATGCCGGACCAGGAGTTCAAGTTGGTCAACTTGATGAGCGTCAGCGCGCTCGTGTACTGCGTCTCGGGCGCCGCGCTGGCCGTCACGACCATGTGCAGCCAGTCGTGTCTGCTCCGGCTCTGTCGGTGCTGCCTGCCCGACGACGTCGAGGCGCAGGTCGAAGCGCGACTGCTGCAGTCGGGCGAGCTGCTGTCGCCGCAAGAGACGCTCGTGGCCGTCGAGTCGATAGAGCCGCCGCTCGTGAACCCCGTGTTTGTGTTCACGGACATCCAGCAGTCGAGCGCGCTCTGGGGCGTCCGCGACGGCCTCGTGATGCAGCAGGCCACGGAGATCCACGACGACCTCTTGCGGTCGCTGCTGCGGAAGTACAGAGGCTACGAGATCACGACGGCCGGCGACGCCTTTCAACTCGCGTTCCACACGGTGCGCGAAGCGGTCGAGTACTGTCTCGACGTGCAGGTGCAGCTCCTCGACGCCCCGTGGCCCAAGGAGCTGCACGGGCTGTTGGCGGCCACGAAGAAGCTCCGTGCAGGTCACCACGTGATCTTCTGCGGCCTGCGGGTCCGCATGGGCATTCACGACGCCGTGGACGTCGACGGGCCACTGGTGCTCGACGTGCACGCCGTGACGGGGAAGATGACGTACACGGGCGCGTCCGTCGTGATCGCCAACGAACTCGGGGACTTGGGCGACGGCGGGCAGGTGCTCGTGACCAAACGCATTGCCGAGTGGCTCTTTATGTTTGCAGACCTCCTCGCAACGCCGTGTTCGGTGGACCGCATGGGCGAGCACGCGATCCCGCTGATCAACGCGTTGGTTGAGGTGTTTCAGGTCGTTCCCACGGAGCTCGCGAAGCGCAAGTCGGTGCTTTCGACAACGCTTCCACAGCGTACAGTTGCAGTTGCAGTTGCTGCACATGCGGTTAGTGAGGGTACTGGTGGTGCGACTGTGTCTGGATTGAGCACTGCCGCAGCGGCCCGTCGACGCGAGTTACATGCGTCGCGTGAACGTCGACGGCAAGTGGAACAGGGGGTGTTGATGGACCGCCATGCGTCGCAGTACGCATTGCCAGGCACGGATGGGGCGGTGCACGGAGCGAGTATACCATGTCACGACGACCAATGTGACGAATGAACGCACAAGTGCTGTGTGGAGACAAAGAGCAGAAGAAGGAGACGGAGGTGAGGACACAGTCATGACAACGCACACCTGGCCACGACCCAAGCGGAGCGACTCCATTAACTTCCTACGTGTAATAACCGACGCTGACGACCAGCGCTTTCCTCACGCACGAAGACCTTTGACCTTACATTTGGCCACTGCGGCATCGAGCTCTTTAAAGTCCTCAGCTGCTGGCGGAGACGAGTCGTCCGTGTAACCCGCCAGGGGCTCTTTAAGCAGGTCGGTCAATGGCGTTTCCTCAGTCGGCGGTGTCGATGGCGACGGCTGAGGGAACTCGATCGAAGACACGGGCAGTGGCTCTTCCTGCGATGTGGACGACGACGATGGGTCTTCCTCCGTAGCTGACGGCGGTGGAACTTCCGTGGGCGCCTCAAGTGGCTTCTCCTCCTTCGAAAGCAATGCTGGAGGTGTCTCTGTGGGCGGCAGGGGTAACACCGGTTCCGTCACCACAGGTGGCTGTGGCGATTCAATTACTGGTGGCGCCTGCGGTGGCTTCTCCTCGGTCGACGGCGGGGCCGGAGGTGGCTGAGGCGGCTCCACTGCTGGGGGAGGGGGAGGCGCGTCAGTCAACACGGGCTGCTGAGGCGGTTTGACGACGCCTGGAGCTTGCGGCGGCTCGGTCGCATGCGATCCCTTCGCCGCGTCCAAGTCCTGCGAGTCCTGCGACGGGTCCTCCGACGGGTCCTCCGACGGATCCACCGACCGCGGCGAGTCCGTCGCGTTCTTCGGCGCTTCCTGCTGCACGGCCGAACCCCCGCTGGCCGCGACCGTGAGCTTCTGCGTCCCGTCCGGCGTGAACGCGCCAAAGTGCTTCTCGTACTCGGCGCCCGTGTAGCTCACGGTCGTGTCGTACATCATGAACCAGTAGCTCTGCGGCACAGTCTGCGCCCACTTGACGTAGTCGTCAAAGTACGTCTGCATGCCGTCTTTCGACGGCGTGTTCTCGCCGTACTTTTCGCCGTCGGACGGCCACCCCGTCTCGGTCACGTGCACCTTCTTGGCGTCGTACTTGGCCGTCATTTGCTCCCACTGGAGCTGCAGCTTCTCCACGGCGCTCTGCGGACCGTTCGTGAAGAACGGATAGATGTTCGTCCCAATGACGTCGCACGCGGACGAGAGCGCCGCCGCGCCGTCCGACGACAGCCACTCGTTGATGCGCTGGACAGACCCCACGGGCGTGTCGCCCACGCACGCTTTGACGCGCTTGATATAGCCCACGAGCTCGTCGGCCGAGAACGTGCCAAAGCCCGCGTTCTTGAGGTTCTCGTTGCCGACGTACACGGCTTCGACCGCACTCGGGTGGGCCTTGAAGCCGTCGCACACGGCTTTGATCTCGGCGTCAATCAGCGCCGGATCGGTCATCTGGACGCCGACCGCCACTTTAATGCCCGCAGCGGCCGCTGCGTCAACGACGTTCACACTGCTGAAGAGCGCTTGGAACGTTCGGACGCTGGCGAAGAATTGGCCCGTGTGGCTAAAGTCTTTGACGATCACGTCAAACGTCACGCTCGGGTGGTGCCACGGCGCGTAGCAGATGCCTGAGGGCAGCACTTTCGCCGATTGGGCGCCGTAGAGCATTGCAGCGGCCGCGACGAGCGCCCCGAGGCGCAGCGTTGGGGAAGAGGACCAGACCATGAGGAGCAAGAGCTGCGGAGGAAGCTGCTAGGAAGCTATGCGCACGTACGTCTCTCTCTCTCTCGGGACTGCCTTCGGGTCTGCCTTCGGATCAATGAAAACGATTATGATGACGGCGTGCGGAAGGTCCGCCGCTGCTGCGACTGCGACTGCATCGGCTACTGCTGATACTACTGCGACTGCTCTCTCTCTCTCTCTCTGGTGGAGCAGGAGGAGCAAAGTCGCGACGGCCGCAGAGCCAGAGCCGGAGCAGAACAGACGGTCGAGACCGGTCTCGTGGTCAGCGGCGGCGCGCAGTTGTATCGAAACGCACAGGGAACGAGCACAGAGCCCGTGCGGCCGGACGACCGCACGGGTGTCGAGCGGCTGCCGGACCATGAAATCGAGCGGCCGACGCGTCTCTCGCACCGACCACATGGCGGCGTAGGGGGTGCGATCAGAAGGCGCGCGCAGCTGTTCCAGTGCGATCGTCGCGATCTGCCCGCGTAGCATCAGGTGCCGCGATTTTTCCTGATTTCCTCGAGCTGGTCGACGGCCGCCTGACGCACACCCCCCCCCCCAACGGCTCGAGATCCTCTCCATCGGGTGGGCCGTAAAACGTCCGGACGCATCGACAGTCGGTCTGTAGCCGCCGCCGCAACATGTTCCTGCAAGTCCGTTTATCACCTCTTGTGCTGCTTAACTTGGGACCTGTGTGAGGAACAACTGGCCGGGTGCATCAACTCAGTGTCTGCTGTGTAGTCGCAGCATACGGCATGCGGTCCGTCACGCGCTGAACCGAAGACAGTCCCCGCCAGAGAACGGCTCGACTGGCGAGGAGGCGCATCCTGCGAGGACGGCAGATGGTTACGTTCCCTTCGCGCTGCAGGAAGCAGAGGAACGGGGTGGACGGCCATTTACTTGTCCTTTAGACGCGCGACAGCACGACGGACAATCATCCAGCAGCGCTGCAGGACATGACCATTGTCCGTCCAGTAGGTAGGCGGAGTGGAAAGAAGAAGAAGAAGAAGACACGACACCGCCATGTGGTCTGCTGCTCGTGTGGCTACAGCTGGCGGACGTTTCAGTGCGTGGAGTCTGATCCGATCCCCGCATTCCCGCGCGCACTTGATCCACAGACGCGCGCACGGTGTCGAAGCCGACGGTCGACGTTCTGTCTGTCCCCTGGCGATCTTCGCTTGCAGGTACCGCGTTGCGTGGCGTCGCGCCTGCCTCATTTATGTCAGCTGCGAACTGCATCGAAAGTTACGTGAGGATGTTCGATCCATTCCGGTGCCTCTACTGCAAAGGCGCGTCGTCGGGTCTCTTTGGTTCGATGTCGACTGACCGACCGATCGCTGGAAGAAGCGCATGTGAACAACCACTCGCTCTGCAAATTGTGTGTCTAGTCGACACGATCGTCCGGTGTACCCGTGCGCAGGAAAAGTCTTTGATCCGTGCAAAGCGTCTGCATACTTTGGAGCTCAGAAACCGAAGAAGGAGCGGCTGCGGTAGCCGCATGTAGCTGCGATGTCTACATTTCCATCGGCTGTAGCACTCGAGATACACATTGCAGCAGTAGGAATCTACGGCGGCCTCGTGCAGAGTAGTAATTTCTCTGTAACAAGTTGTCGATCTATGCATTTACGCTATACACGTAGACGGCGTCTCTCGCACTCAGGACGTCGTCATCGAGAAACGCATACTCGATGCAACACCGTTGTCTTACATAGCATAGCAATAGTGAACCACAAGGTCGCGCATGCGCAGATTCTTCAGAGCATTTCTTGTCTAATCGGAACTGCACGTTGATGGACCACAGAAAACAGTCGACGGTGCAGCAGTCGCACAGCGCGTTGAAGTGCGTCCGATGTCGAGCATTCTCACACTGACTGACTGGCCAGCGGCGACCAGTGCAACGAACCGAGGCAACAAGCGTTTTTGTACATGTATGTGTGTGTCAGTCATCACCACGTTGACACGACCTCCTGAGAGCAGTCTGAGTTGGAACACGCGTCGGGTAAATTGCACAACGCAAAGTCTGGACACCAGACTTCCGCTCGCGCTAGAAACACGAGTCCTCGTAGCAATCCGATATTGCCACACATGTCCACGCATCGATTCTTTGACGACGCTGCTGGCTTCGAAGCGGAAGAGGTTAGTTGACTCGAAGTCTATAGCGTGGGTAGCAGTTAGCCACGTCTGTGTGTCCTTTGCATTGCATTGTTAGGCGACCGCTCTCCAATGCATCAACAACAACTTGGCGTACACAGACAAGAGTGTTTTCATTTTCGTTATGCACGTCCGCTACAATGCGCCTCGGCGTCGCACCACTGTACAACGTCTTCACTCACGTAATCGAGTCGTCTACATCTTGAGCGATGGTCAGGTCAGTTCGTCACACGAGGTGACTTACATGGGGCAGCCGATGCCCGACTTCATCGGAGCGGGGACACCACCAGTCTCCGAGCCTACCACCGGGGTGCCGTCCGGGTTGAAGTACAGAGGCTCACCCACAGTCTCCGTGGGCGCCACCGGGGTGCCGTCCGGGTTGAAGTACAGAGGCTCACCCACAGTCTCCGTGGGCGCCACCGGGGTGCCGTCCGGGTTAAAGTACAGAGGCTCACCCACAGTCTCCTTGGGCGCCACCGGCGTGCCGTCCGGGTTAAAGTACAGAGGCTCACCCACAGTCTCCTTGGGCGCCACCGGCGTGCCGTCCGGGTTAAAGTACAGAGGCTCACCCACAGTCTCCTTGGGCGCCACCGGCGTGCCGTCCGGGTTAAAGTACAGAGGCTCACCCACAGTCTCCGTGGGCGCCACCGGCGTGCCGTCCGGGTTAAAGTGCAGAGGCTCACCCACAGTCTCCTTGGGCGCCACCGGCGTGCCGTCCGGGTTAAAGTACAGAGGCTCACCCGCGGTGATCGTAGGCTCCGGGACAACAGCGCCCTTGCCCGTGTGCGTCGCAGGGGGAAGCGCACCGTTGGCTTCCAGGATCGCCAGCTGCTCCGGTCCGAGGTTGCTCGGGATGGCAGTGCCGTTCGCGAAAATGGCCTCGCCCGCCGCGTTTCGGCGCATGCCCGGACCCGCGAAGATCGTGGGCTCCGGGACAGCAGCGCCCTCGCCCGTGTGCGACGCCGGAGGAGGCACACCGTTAGCTTCCAGGATCGCCAGCTGCTCCGGTCCGAGGTTGCTCGGGATGACAGTTCCGTTGGGGTAAATCGATTCACCCGCCGCGTTTCGGCGCATGCCCGGACCCGCGAAGATCGTAGGCTCCGGGACAACACCGCTGTCGCCTTGCACGGGCGAGTCCTGGTTCGGCAGGCCCTGGTCCGCGCCGCCTCCGACCACGGGGATGGCGTCCGAGGGCGTGCCGGCGTTCATGCCGATCGAGCGCGGGATCTTGATCTTCAGCTCGCCCGTGGCCGTGAACACGCCGAAGCTCATTTCGAACGACTGGCCCGTGTAGCTCTTGGTCGTGTCGTACATCATGAACCAGTACGCGCGGTCCTTGGTCATCGCCCACGTCGTGAAGTCGTCTAGGTACTGCTGCATGGTCTCGAGCGACGGGTGGTTCCCCATCATCTCTTCGCCGGCCGACGGCCACCCCGTCTCCGTCACCTGCACCTTCCCCGCGTCGTACTTGCCGACCATTTGGTCCCACTGGGCCTGGAGCTTCTCGATCGGCGGCATGTCGCCCGGCGTGAAGAACGGGTAAATGTTGACGCCGATCTTGTCGCTCGCGGCCGCGACCTGCGCAGCGCCGTCGGCACCGAGCCACTCGTTGATGCGCTGGACCGTGCCGACCGGCACGCCGCCGCCCGTGCAAGTCTTGACTTGGGCAATGTATGCCACGAGCTGCTCGGCGCTGACCGTACCAAAGCCGTTGTTGTGGAGGTTCTCGTTGCCGACCCACACGGCTTCGACCGCGCTGGGGTTCTTCTGGTACCCGTCGCACACGGCCTGGATCTCGGCGTCGACGGCCGCCAAGTCGTTCATCTGCACGCCGACCGCGACTTTAACGCCGGCTGCAGCGGCCACGTCAATGACATTGACGCCGCTCATGCGCGTTTCGAACGTGCGGAAGCTCGAGAAGTACTGACTGAGCTGCTGGAAGTCGCGTAGAATGACTTCGAATGTCACGGTGGGTCTGTGCCACGGCGCGTAGCACCCGCCGGGGGAGCCCGCGTGCGTCGACTCGATCGAGAGGGCGGCCAGCATGGCGAAGATGGTCTTGTAAGAGGTACACACCATTGTAGAAAGAGAGGCACGAGGTGGCGGTAGTGGTGAGGAAGGAGGAGGGGGACAACTGCGACGACAGGTGCGTGGCAAAGGTTGTGGAGGGAGACGGTCGGTCAGTCGGTCGGTCGGTCGTTCCGTGTGCAGGACAAGGAAGATCGAGGAATGAGGTGGTTACGCCGCGGCGGCACAGAGCGCGCGACCCGTGCGGTCGTGGCCTTTCGAGTGGCGCCAGCTCCGGTCGCGTGAGGCGTCGTCACGACGCGAGGGGGTAAAAAGTTGGGCCGCGACACGCGCGTTCACCGCCTGTGAGCGTGCGGGAGACGACGACCGCCATGCGCGGCCGACAGCTGGCGCGCGGTAGACAGGACCGAGCACCGGATGGCGCGTGGCGGTTGAACCACCACCCGGTCGACGACGACGACGACGTCGCGACGACAGTCTCGAGGCCCTGCTGACGTGCGGGCAAAATTTCAACTTTTCGAGGACTTGGACGGGGGGTGGGAGTCTCTCGACCGCAACACACACGACCGTTTATTTGAGACGAACGCACAGAGAGGCAGTAGCTGTGCTGTAGCAGATGATGAGGGAGCACAGAGCTTGGGAAGCCCTATGGACGTTGCTCGCTCTCGCTCCAACATGGAGCGGAAACCTGCAGAAGCGGTTGGCGCATTGGCGTGCTGCTGCTGCTGCCTCGTGTGGGCAAAGAACAGGTTGTTTACAACTTTGCGATCGTTTGCCTGGCGCGTAGAACTCGCAGAGGTGCGGCGGCTGAATTCCCAGCCGCCGCTCTGAACGGAACGGGTGCGAAATCGTGCAGCGAGTGGGTAAAAGTGGGGGGCGAAAGCGCGGAAGACGAGGCGAGTGGCGGCGGCACAGAGACGTCTGCGTCGTGGAACGGACATCGACACGTTGTGAAGACGGATCCTTCGTTTTATCCCGAGCGTGTGCGTAGATGTTCCCGACTCGCGGTGGCAATAGAATAGACAAACGTGAGCGGGAGGATGGACGACATGAAGCAAGACGGCGGTGGTCTCGATCGTGCGGTCAGAGACATGTGCGGTCGGTTATAGAGGATATGTTTATTGGTGCCAAGATGTAGTCGCATACCGTGTCAAGAAAGCCATTGAGCGCTTCCTGCTGCCAAGTGCACTCGGCAGTAGGGGTCGAGAGGCAGCAGAGGTCTCTCGGCCTTTGTGCTGGAAGAGGAACTATCAGGCGATTGTGACGTTGTTGAAGCCACGACACTATTGTCTCCTTTGGTACTGAGTCATACTCGGCATCTCTTGATAGGCTGGTTGGGCCGACTGCATGGTCCCGTCCACGACAACCGAGACGGGTCTCTGCGTCTTCGTGCCGTCGCTACCGTAGACACGCTAACCTGGCGCCACTTTGCCGACGACCGAGTTGTGCATCGGCCTCTTCCAGCTGGAATTTGTTGTGCGGTCGTGCGTTCGAATGAACCCGTCGCTCACCTGCTGCCACTGGCCCCTCGACCAGGTGGTGGTGTCCCTCGCCATCTAGCTGGCTAACGACCACACAATGCCGCAGGGCGTTGTGCAATGCAGGAAACCTGCAGTTATCGTTGTCGCGATCGCGCGGCCATTTGCTCGTTTGCCGCTAGTGTTCACGTTGTCTTAGTCTTGTCTTTTGTATCGACGAAGTTTGCACGAAGACGCAGAAACTGGATCGTTGCTAAAACTCTATCTCCTACACACAGAAGGTCGAGTCGCGTCGATCTCGATTGATTCCGGTAGAGCACGCAATACCAAGCGGACGAACCGGATTTTTTCAGCGAAACATTGGCGCTCGAGGAGCCGATCGCATGGATGAGCACTCAGTGTTCGTCGTCTTCACGTGCTGTTGTCGCAGCGATAAGAGGGACATACGACGAGTTTGTCACAAGAGACATTCGGTCTTTGCCGGGCCTCGGGCTCCCTCTGGTCATCCTGCCGATGGGTACGCTTTGGCAAAGTCGGCCGCAGCAGTCTCTACGCCGCTTCCGGTGCTACTGCAGAGTCGATTTCGGTCGGAACGACGGCAATCGTCGGCGGGCTGAGCCCTTTTTTCGGTGGCCAAGAGGTGCCAACGAGCTGGTGATGGTGTAAATGTGGGATGCGAAGCGCAACGTGGCACATCCAGTCGACAACGCTGCGAGGCGGCCGGGTCGACAATACGCGAACGAGCGATGCGTGTCCAGCCAGATGACGGTGGGACAATCTGGAAAAGCATTTGGCCCCTCGACATCTGCCAAAGGCGTTTGTTCGACCGTGGAGTAGTCGGTCGACAGCGTGGAACGTTTGACTCACTGCTGGACGTGTCACGCGTCACTCGCATACGCAATTGCTAGAGCAAATGCGGCTCGACCGAAAACGAAGAAAAACAACACCACATCACTGCCGTGACGGTCCTGGAAGCGCACGGACGTTCAGCGTAGATTCGATCCATCGTCTCGTCTTTGCCGATCAGTTGCCAGCGCCCACGAGTGGACGAGACGTACGTTCGCGTGCGGGCGATCGGACGGGACCCTCACGTCGCTTGGCAGAGATAGCGATAAAGGGGTCGCAGGGGATAGCCGGACCCGAATGCTGTGTGGCGTCAGATAGGGGATACGAACGAGTGATGGCCCGATTTGCGAGATTCCGTGAGTATCGCAAGCGCTGTCGTCCTGCAGTGCTGCTGCTGCTGGCTCTGTCGAAGAAAATCCGGGCTTGCCGTCCTCGTGAAATTTTCAGGACCAACGAGTGACGACATGGAGTGGGTACGCGAACGTGAAGTTCGGTCCGTCGCTGTGCTTTTGTCGGGTCTCGATGAAGGAACGTGTTTATCTCAACGCTATGTGCTTTACGTAGCGGCGGGTGATGGTGCTAAGCGAAGGCGCCTGTGGCGTCGTTGCCCTTGACAATAGCGCTAAGGACTAAGCGTTTATCGCACGACATGGCGTCTTCGCCAAGCTTTTAGAGCACGTTAGCTGAAGCATCCGGTGGGAGACAATCAGCAAACTGGGCAGATGCGTGTTGCTCACACGGCAGAAGTCAAGAAAGACGCTCCACACCTTAGACCGTCGCCACACTTTAGCGGTCAGTGCCATGTAATCAAATCGCACCATTGAGACTTAACTGCCGACTGCCTGCCTAAGTAGTTGACGTACTGAGGTCTACACCGAAGGCGCAGCGGTGCAATGCTCGCGGTTTTAGTTTGCATATTGACATACTGTCGACGCTCTTACTGGAACTCATGAGTCGCACAGTAAGTAGTAGCACGGATTGCAGCATGTTCAGCAACGAGTGGAGCTATGAGTCTCGTTTTGCTGTTGCGTCATTCACACGCTCGTATGCGATAGCGCTGACGAACGTATTATCATTGCGGCTGTAGTGCTTCAGTCTATCTTCATTCGTTCTGCCTCTGTGTTGGGCCGTTTCGCAGTACATTGTAACAGCCACGAACTAGACCACACCCCTCATGTGTAGCAGAATTTGTGTCAGCGATACCGACTGAATCGAACGGAATGGTTTTGCAAAACTGACAATAACTACCGTAACATCCGCTCGTTATCACTGTCGTCTTGCGCTCACAGTCGACTCGGTTTCACTCTTGTGCAAGCGGTGGTTTTCAGTTAACAAATGAAGGCTGTTGCTTATGCCGCTTTCGGATCCCCTCCCGCGTCCGTTTCGTACAAAGGGGTCGCGTAGACGTGACCAGGAAGCACAGTCGATTGCGATACTGGTACGTTATATCGTCTTTCCTTCATTGCTGTTGCTAGCGTTGTCCAAAAACCAGAGAGAGCGGAACAGATGGTCGATCACGCGGTACCTATGTACACAAGGTTTCTGGAATGCCCTAAGCCAGATTAGCAACGCCAATGTCGAATGACCCGGTGCTGGTTCGTGGCTTACCACATGACGTGATGCTCTGGAAGGCGCAGTGCTAGCATCGAGCATCTCAAAAAGTACTGCCATCGACGAATGCCATGCACCCTTGAATGTAGAGTCCGGCGCTCTCATGCCGATAGCGCTCGTAATCGCCGAAGGCCATTCGAGCTAAACTTTCGGACACTCCCCCAAAGTGATAGTTGTTGCGGCTGGTAAACAACCCTATTGCGCTGTATCCATAGAGTCAAGAAACGGACGGGGCACAGGATCCACTAGATGCGCTTCCACTGAACAACATATACCTCCGCAGTATCACCAAGTGCGCGCTGCAGCCGTTCAAGAAAGTGGCCGGGTTAAATGCGGCGGTTTTCTTGCCATGCAGTAAATCGAATGTCGGCTCACGTCACCCGGCCGCACGTCGGCCTTAAGCCACGACGTCTGGACCGCCTGCCAGCATCCCTGGGCCACCGGGCGTGGCCGTTGTCCAAAACCATCGTGAATCACGTTATCAATCAAAAGTCACGTACAGGTGCTGTGCCCGGAGACGCTAGCAGTAAATCACTTGTAGTACGTTGCTAGCAGAGGTCAACATGTTGGTAGGCACAACGGATTCTATAGAGAGACCTCGACTATCCTCTCGAGATTGTAGCTACCCGGGCTACGTATCCGTATGGGAACGTGCCCAAGATCGCCTACATTGACCAACGCGTGACTTATTGACATTTGTTAGCCTACATAGTCACTTCGGATGCATGACGATCGGCTCTACGTAGTTCACGAGCATGTTGCGACGCAAGAAATGAATCACCATGAGATTTGTAGTATGTGACGTGTCTAGGTCAATGAAGAACAAACAGTCTGCAGGTCTTGTCATCCAGTGCTGGCGAGAAGAAACGAGAACGTGCAGTTTCGACTAGTTACACGACAAGTTTCGGATGTACTACTTCGAGTTTTGTACAGGATGATGCAAATGATGACGGTGAACGTAATATATACACAGGCACGTGCCGATGTGCAACATCCAGGCATGGCACCTGCTTCAAGGCTCACGTTGCCGCGCAGAAATGACCGGTTGAGAGCTGGCCACGCTTGATGTTGCTGCGGTGTGTTGGATCGTGCATGATCATGTAGTAGCCGCTTCGA